AGATACGCACAGACACACACAGACACACACACAGACACACACACATACACACACACATACACACACACATACACACACATACACACATACATACACACATACACACACGCACAGACACACACACAGACACACACACAGACACACACACACAGACACACACATAGACAGACACACACACACAGACACACTGACACAAAGATCAAAGACAAAGATCCCCCATATAGCCTGTAGCAGACTGTAGGGGCAACTGCTGTTAGCGGGCACCTATGAAGGCCGGAACGGTACACGAGGGGGTGGGTGGCCAGCACCACGCCCGACCGTCTTTGTCTCCCTAGTGACAATGTTTACACACCGCACCAGGTACTGATTTGAGGCTGAGTCGACCTAGGGGAGGCCCAGGACCGGCTCAGATAATCGTCACTGGTGTTGGCCGTGAGCGGGAATCGAACCCGGGTCGCCAGGTTCATAGCTCAGCATAGCGCTAACCGCTACACTACCGCTCCCCACACACACACAGACACGCACAGACACACACACAGACACACACACAGACACGCACAGACACACACGCATACACACAACAACAACCGCCATTCGACACTAAGTGGCGGTGACGTCACCACGACGCTTGTGCCAGGCCACGTGCAACTTGAGGCCACGTGAAGTGTCGAACGCCCGCTGGCAGGAGGTCACGGGGCAGACCCAGCAGGTGCCACGGGTCGACTGACTGAGACGACTGGCTGATGCACCACCTGTGCCCCCTACTGTGCCAACCTGCTGTGCTTTAGCCACCCGGCGCTCCGCTCGTTGTTGTGAGCGTCGCTCCTCCGCCCTCCGTTGTTGTTGGAGGGCGACTGCCTCCAACTGCCCAGCAGCATCCTTCACGAGTCTCCTCCACAGAGGCCGATCTTGACACCGCTGGTACCAGTCATCGGCAAGTCCACTCAGCTCCACGTCCTCCTGTACCACATCACTCCATCTCTTCTCTAGCCCATGCCGCGCCCGTTTAGCCCCCTCGATCCGGCTGGATAAAAGCTGTTTCGGCATGCGGTGGCTGGGCATGCGGCCTACATGATCCAGCCAATGCAGCCTTGCCTGCCGGAGGAGCTCACCGATGGGACCTTGCCTCTCCTCACACAATCCAGCCTGGTTAAACCCAGGATGGATCTTACGCAGGCCAGCCTAAATGTTTTTAACCGGCGAAGATGTTCCATTAAGGGGGTCCACGTTTCGCAAGGGTAGAGAAGGGAGGGAATGACCGTGGCCGAGAAGACCTGAAGCTTAGTGCGGAGCGACAGACCAGGTAGCTTCCACACAGCGTTACGCAACCGATGAAAAGATATTGCCACTCGACTGATTCGGAGTGAGACCTCTGCTGTTAAACCCGAGCCGGTCATAAGCACACTGCCCAGGTATGGGAAACTCTCCACTCTCTCCACAACTGCCCCATCACCGATTGGTAGTTGTGGGGGTGGAGTGCCCGATGGTACAAAATACCCAGGCAGGTGCTTAGTTTTGGTGGGGCTGATGGTAAGGCCCCATCTCTTAGTGGCACGCTCCAGTTTCAGCAGCAGCGCCTCCAAATCCTACTCTGAATGAGCAGCTATTACCAAATCATCGGCATACATAACGTGGTTGAGCAATAGGGAGCCATCCCTTGACCGCACCCGGGCATCGATCAGCCTCCCATTGTATCTGAAACTAGATGGAAATTCCTCCGGTACCGCTCCTGAAAGCGTCACGAAGTGGTCAAAATAGATGTTAAATAATGTGGGAACCAGAGGACATCCCTGTCGCACCCCAAGGTGTACAGGGAATGGTTCTGACTCCCGGCCACGTAGTTTGTACCGGGCCCGCTCACCATCATGAAGGTCCTTAATGATCGTTAGCAGAGGGTCAGGGACTCCGAAAGCACGAAGAATAACCCAGAGCCCAGGCCTATTGATGGTGTCATAGGCCTTGACCAGGTCAATAAAGCAGAGATGTAGGTCTTGTGGGAATTCCCTACACCTCTGCTGTAGCAGACGGACTGAAAATACGCCCATACACACACACACCCACACACACCCACACACACGCCCACACACACACACCTACACACACACATACATACCCACACACACGTACACACACACACACACCTACACACCTACACACACGCCCATACACACACACATACACACGTACACACGCACGCCCTACACATACACGTACACACGCACACACACACGTACATACACACATACATACCCACACACACGTACACACACACCTACACAAACACACGCCCATACACACACACACGTACACACACACGTACACACACACATACACACTTACACACACACGCCCATACACACACATACACACGTACACACGCACGCCCACACATACACGTACACACGCACACACACACATACACACACACGCCCACACACACACCTACACACACACACACGTACACACACGCAAGCTGGTGTGTCAAGTCGTCTATAAATGCGCCGTTTTTGCCGGAGGTTTTTAGAGTCGGCCAGTGGAGACCTGACGAACGACACAAAAGGGTGAGCGAGTGTCTAAACAAGGACCATCATCATCAACATCATCATCAGCATCATCATCAGCATCATCACCACCATCAACATCACCACCACCATCACCATCATCATCACCACCACCACCATCATCATCAGCATCATCTTCACCATCATCACCACCATCACCATCATCATCAGCATCATCATCACCATCATCATCAGCATCATCATCAGCATCATCATCACCATCATCATCATCATCACCACCATCACCATCATCATCAGCATCATCTTCACCATCATCATTATCACCACCATCACCATCAACATCACCACCACCACCATCACCATCATCTTCACCATCATCACCACCATCAACATCACCACCACCATCACCATCATCATTACCATCACCATCATCACCACCATCATCTTCACCATCATCACCACCACCATCATCACCACCATCAACATAACTACCACCACCATCATCATCATAATCACCACCATCATCACAGCCACCATCATCATTGCTACCATAATCACCATCATCGTCGTCACTACCACCATCATCATCTGAATCATCACCACCATCACAACCATCATCATCACCACCATCATCACCACCACCACCACTATTCTCACAGCTCTTGCCCTTGACACTCTGCCGAGGCTATAGGGGGCACCTTTGTCTGTGTTAGTAGCTAGCTCACAGCTCTTGTCCCTGAGTGGGTGAGTGGGTGGGTGAGTGAGTGGGTGAGTGAGTGAGTATTTGAGTGAGTGAGTGGTTGAGTGAGTGAATGGTTGAGTGAGTGAGTGGTTGAGTAGGTGAGTGATTGAGTAGGTGAGTGAGTGAGTGAGCGGTTGAGTGAGTGAATGGTTGAATGAGTGAGTGAGTGGTTGAGTGAGCGAGTGAATGGTTGAGCGAGTGAGTGGTTGAGTGAGTGAATGGTTGAGTGAGTGAGTGGTTGAGTGAGTGAGTGGTTGAGTGAGTGAGTGGTTGAGTGAGTGAGTGAATGGTTGAGTGAGTGAATGGTTGAGTGAGTGAATGGTTGAGTGAGTGAGTGGTTGAGTGAGTGAATGGTTGAGTGAGTGAATGGTTGAGTGAGTGGGTGTTTGAGTGAGTGAATGGTTGAGTGAGTGAGTAGGTGAGTGAGTGGTTGAGTGAGTGAATGGTTGAGTGAGTGAATGGTTGAGTGAGTGGTTGAGTGAGTGAGTGGTTGAGCGAGTAAATGGTTGAGTCGTTGAGTGAGTGAGTGATTGAGTGAGTGAATAGTTGAGTGAGTGAATGGTTGAGTGAGTGAGTGATTGAGTGAGTGAATGGTTGAGTGAGTGAGTGGTTGAGTGAGTGAGTGGTTGAGTGAGTGAGTGAATGGTTGAGTGAGTGAATGGTTGAGTGAGTGAGTGGTTGAGTGAGTGAGTGAATGGTTGAGTGAGTGAATGTTTGAGTGAGTGAATGGTTGAGCGAGTGAGTGGTTGAGTCAGTGAGTGGTTGAGTGAGTTAGTGGTAGAGTGAGTGAGTGGTTGAGTGGTTGAGTGACTGAATGGTTGAGCCGTTGAGTGAGTGAATGGTTGAGTGAGTGAGTGAGTGGTTGAGTGAGTGAATGGTTGAGTGAGTGAGTGAATGGTTGAGTGAGTGAATGGTTGAGCGAATGAGTGGTTGAGTGAGTGAATGGTTGAGTGAGTGAGTGAGTGGTTGAGTGAGTGAATGGTTGAGTTAGTGAGTGAGTGGTTGAGTGAGTGAATGGTTGAGTGAGTGAATGGTTGAGTGAGTGAGTGATTGAGCGAGTGAATGGTTGAGCGAGTGAGTGGTTGAGTGGTTGAGTGACTGAATGGTTGAGTCGTTGAGCGAGTGAATGGTTGAGCGAGTGAGTTTTTAATGAACGAGCGAGCGAGCGAGAGGCTCGTGCGGAGCGGTGGTGCAGCGGTTAGCACCGCGTTGTTCTGCCGATGCCGACGGCGACCCAAGTTCGATTCCCGCTCTGGGCGCAAGCCACGGATGACGATGAACCGGTCCTGGGTCCTCTCTGTAGGTCAACTCGGTGACTGGAACTCTTCTGCAAGAACCTCCTCGCCGTGGTTCTCTTCACGTGACAGCGATGATGCACCATCATCATCATCATCAGCACCACCATCACCGCCATCACCATCATCTGCTGAGGCTGCTGATGGTGATGCTGATGGTGGTTCTCATGGCCAGAGATATCGTCGGCTCGTTTCAACTACGAGGTGAGCGCAGATTCCTTGGACACACACAACCACACACAACCACACAGACACACACACAACCACACACACACGCAGACACACACACACACACTACACACACACACAACCACACACACAACCACACACAACCACACTACACACACACACAACCACACACACAACCACACACAACCACACACAGACACACACACAACCACACACAGACACACACACAATCACACACACACTACACACACACACACACAACCACACACACAACCACACACACAGACACACACACAATCACACGCACAACCACACACACAACCACCACACCACATACACACAATCACAAAATCACACACACACAAAATCACACACACACACTACACACACACTACACGCACACACAACCACACACACATACACAGACAACCACACACACACAGACACACACAGACAACCACACACACAATCACACACACACACAACCACACACACAATCACACACACATACACACACACAACCACACACACACAACCACACACACAATCACACACACAACCACACACACACAATCACACACACAACCACACACAATCACACACACAACCACCACACCACATACACACAATCACACACACATACATGCACACAATCACACACACAACCACACACAACGACACACACACACAATCATACACACTACACACACACAACCACACACACAATCACACACACACACTCACAATCACACCACCCACACACACAACCACACACACACCACACACACACAATCATACTACACACACACCACCCACACACACAACCACACACACCCACACACACAACCACAAAGACAATCACACACAGACACACACACAATCACACACACAATTACACACACCCACACACGCAACCACACACCCAGACCCCCACCCTCTCGCCCCCCATGCCCGGGGGCCCGGGCCAGACAGGCCAAGCCCAGAGTCAGCACGCGGCTCCATTGCTCAGCGATGTCACGATTTAGGACATTAACTTCTGAACTTTAATACTTTCCTCACTGCAAGAAATTCATACTCTACGTTTATTTCGTTAAAGTCGCGTGGGTAGAAAATTAAAATAAATAAAATACATGTTTTTTTATATTCTTAGCTCTTTCGGTAAAGTCACCACGTTGAAGGGAAACAATAAAATAATAAAAAAATATATGAAACAATAAAAAATTCTCACGACGTTTCGACCATAACACAAACGGTCATCATCAGGTGTGTCGGTTCGCATTAATTTATTTATTTTTAAACGGTGTATTTATTTATTTATAAAAAACGTCAGCGCCACGCGCAGCGATTTGGCAAGTTTATTTAGAAGGACGAGTCCATCTATGTTCTGAAAATAGGAGGGGGGAGACGAAATATTTAATGTATGCTGTCTGAAAGCCACCGTAAGCGTGAACAATCAATTAAGACCCGAAATGGTTGATCAAACCCTTCCAATGATTGCTAAGCCAGAATCCATCTTCTCGGTTGATATTGTCTCTGCGCTTGTATATGTGGATAGCCTCATGAACGAATCTCTCAAGGTAGCCAGATGGCTTACAAAGAACCTCTGTCTTGACAGAGGTTCGTGTATAGTGTAGTGTATAGTGTAGTCTATAGTGCAGTGTATAATGTAGTGTGTAGTGTAGTGTATAGTGGAGTGTATAGTAGTGGAGTGTATAGTGTAGTGTATAGTGTATAGTAGTGTAGTGTATAGTGTAGTATGCAGTGTAGTATATAGTGTAGTATATAGTGGAGTGTATAGTGTAATGCATAGTGTAGTTTATAGTGTAGTGTATAGTGTAGTGTATAGTAGTGTAGTGTATAGTGTAGTGAAGTATATAATGTAGTGTATAGTAGTCTATAGTGCAGTATATAGTGGAGTGTATAGTGTAGTGTATTGTGTAGTGTATAGTGTAGTATGCAGTGTAGTTTATAGTGTAGTGTATAGTGTAGTAGTCTATAGTGTATAGTGCAGTGTATAGTAGTATAGTGTAGTGAAGTGTATAATGTAGTGTATAGTAGTCTATAGTGCAGTATATAGTGGAGTGTATAGTGTAGTGTATTGTGTAGTGTATAGTGTAGTATGCAGTGTAGTTTATAGTGTAGTGTATAGTGTAGTGTATAGTAGTCTATAGTGTATAGTGTAGTGTATAGTAGTATAGTGTATAGTGTAGTGAAGTGTATAATGTAGTGTATAGTAGTCTATAGTGCAGTATATAGTGGAGTGTATAGTGTAGTGTATTGTGTAGTGTATAGTGTAGTATGCAGTGTAGTTTATAGTGTAGTGTATAGTGTAGTGTATAGTAGTCTATAGTGTATAGTGTAGTGTATAGTAGTGTATAGTGTAGTATGCAGTGTAGTATATAGTATTGTATGCAGTGTAGTGTGTACTGTAGTGTATAGTGTAGTACAGTGTAGTGTATAGTGTAGTGTATAGTGTAGTCTGTAGTAGTGTATAGTGTAGTGTATAGTGTAGTATGCAGTGTAGTGCATAGTGTAGTGTATAGTGTAGTACAGTGTAGTGTATAGTGTAGTGTATAGTGTATAGTGTAGTCTGTAGTAGTGTATAGTGTAGTGTATAGTGTAGTATGCAGTGTAGTGCATAGTGTAGTGTAGTGGCACAGCACTTGTGTATACACCATAAAGGCCGGCACGGTAATACACGAACGGTTGGGTGACCAGCACCACGCCCGACCGCCTTTGCCTCCCCAGCGGCGATGTTTTACTTCACACCGCGCCAGGTACTCATTTGAGGCTGAGTCGACCTAGGGGAGGCCCAAGACCGGTTCACACAATCGTCACCGGTGCTGTTGGCCGTGAGCGGGGAATCGAACCCGTGTCGCCGGGTTCGTAGCGCTACCCGCTACACTACCGCCCCACCTAAAGACACAGACGCAGAGACGCCGTTCACCTCTGACCGCGTCTCCCCAGGGCTGGTGGATGAGGAGGTGGAGGTGCAGGATGAGGCGCAGGAGGAGATGGGGCATCGGAGTCCCAGGGAGGCGGGCGGGCGTCTCCTGCGCTCCGCGCTGCGCGAGGCGATGGAGACGGTCAACGGTGCCTACAAATACTCACGCGATAGGTGTGGTGTGTGTGGTGTGGTGTGTGGAGTGTGGTGTGTGGTGTGTGGAGTGTGGAGTGTGGTGTGGAGTGTATGGTGTGGTGCATTGTGGTGCGGTGTAGTGTTGGTGTACCGCACAGAGTGTAACAACTACAGGGGCATCTCACCCCTGAGTGTGCCGGGAAAGGTCCTGGCAAAGGATTATTCTTCAACGTCGCCTCGCCAGGCGCGCTGAGGAGAGGCTTGCGGAGCCCCAATGCGGTTTCAGGAAAGGGCGGTTCTGCACGGACGCCATATTTTTTTTATGTCCGTGTCTGCAACAGCAGAGGTGTAGGGAATTCCAGCAAGAGCTACATCTCTGCTTTATTGACCTGGTCAAGGCCTATGATACCATCAGTAGGCCCTGGGCTCTGGGTTGTTCTTCGTGCTTTCGGAGTCGCTGACCCTCTGCTCACAATCATTAAGGACCTTCATGCTGGTGAGCGGGCCCGGGTAAAACTACGTGGCCGGGAGTCGGAGCCATTCCCTGTACAGCTTGGGGTGCGACATTATTTAACATCCATTTCGACAATGTAGTTCGTGAAGCCCTTAATAGCTGTACTGGAGGAATTTCCATCTGGTACAGCTACAATGGGAGGCTGATCGATGCCCGGGTGCGGTCAAGGGATGGCTCCCTATTGCTCAATCACGTTATGTATGCCGATGATTTCGTAATAGCTGCACACTCAGAAGAGGAGTTGGAGGCGCTGCTGCTGAACCTGGTGCTTGCCACTAAGAGGTGGGGCCTTACCATCAGCCCCACCAAAACTAAGCACCTGCCTGGGTAGACACACCACCCCCACAACTCCCAATCGGTGATGGGGCAGTTGTGGAGAGAGTGGAGAGTTTCCCATACCTGGTCAGTGTGCTCATGACCGGCTCCAGTTTAACAGCAGAAATCTCACCCCGAATCAGTCGAGTGGCAATATCATTTCATTGGTTGCGTAACGCTGTGTGGAAGCTACCTGGTCTGTCGCTCCGCACGAAGCTTCGGGTCTTTGGATATCTCTGAGTCTCCATGGGTCTCTATGTATCTCTATGGGTCTCTATGTCTCTCTATGGTTTTCCATGGGACTCTGTGTGTCTCTATGTGTCTCTATGTATCTCTATGGGTCTGTATGACTATCTATGGGTATCTGTATGTCTCTATGTGTCTCTATGGGTCTCTATGGGTCTCTATGTATCTTTATGGGTCTCTATGTATTTCTATGGTTTTCCATGGGACTCTGTGTGTCTCTATGTGTCTCTATGTATCTCTATGGGTCTGTATGACTATCTGTGGGTCTCTATGGGTCTCTATGTGTCTCTATGTATCTCTATTGGTTTGTATGACTATCTATGGTATCTGTGTGTCTCTATGTGACTCTATGGGTCTCTATGTGTCTCTATGTATCTCTATGGGTCTGTATGACTATCTATGGGTATCTGTGTGTTTTAATGTGTCTCTATGGGTCTCTATGGGTCGTTATGGGTCTCTATGTATCTCTTTGGGTCTCTATATATCTCTATGCATCTCTATGTATCTCTCTGGGTCTCTGTGTATCTCTATGGGTCTCTATGTGTCTCTATGTATTTCCATGGGTCTGTATGACTATCTATGGGTATCTGTGTCTCTATGTGTCTCTATGGATATCTATGTATCTCTATGGTTCTCTATGGGTCTCTATGTGTCTCTATGTATCTCTATGGGTTTGTATAACTATCAATGGGTATCTGTGTGTCTCTATGGGTCTCTATGGGTCTCTATGTATCTCTGTGGGTCTCTATGTATCTCTATGCATCTCTACGTATATCTCTGGGTCTCTATGCATCTCTATGGGTCTCTATGTGTCTCTATGTATCTCTATTGGTCTGTATGACTATCTATGGGTATCTGTGTTTCTATGTGTCTCTATGTATCTCTATGGGTCTATATGTATCTCTATGGGTCTCTATGTATCTCTCTGGGTCTCTATGTATCCCTATGGGTCGCTATGTATCTCTGTGGGTCTCTGTGTATCTCTATGCATCTCTACGTATCTCTATGGGTCTCTATGTATCTCTCTGGGTCTCTATGTATCTCTATGGGTCTCTATGTATCTATGTGGGTCTCTATGTATCTCTATGCATCTCTACGTATCTCTATGGGTCTCTATGTATCTCTATGGGTCTCTATATATCTCTCTGGGTCTCTTTGTATCTCTAAGGGTCTCTATGTATCTCTATGCATCTCTACGTATCTCTATGGGTCTCTATGTATCTCTATGCGTCTCTACGTATCTCTGTGGGTCTCTATTTGTCTCTATGCATCTCTACGTATCTCTCTGGGTCTCTATGTGTCTCTCTGCGTCTCTACGTATCTCTATGGGTTTCTATGTATCTCTTTGCATCTCTACGTATCTCTCTGGGTCTCTGTGCGTTCAGATCGCTACGCAAATTTCCACATTGGGACGATCGTGAGCTGCTTTGCCGAGCTTGCGATGATTCGCCATGGGCCCAGGTCGCTACACAGTTACCAAGTGGTCTTCCACGCTGCGTCAAAATCAAATAAAAATCATAGTTTACGTTTTAGAATCATCATCTCTCTTGTCTAAGAGAGAGAGAGATGGGGGGTGGATGTGCACTCATCCCTAGAGTGCGGTATGTACAAAATGTGTGAAATGCTGGCCGGGGAGGGAGATTGATGAATGGGGCTTAAGGCGTCGTGAACCGCGTTGATTTAGCGGCGTCTTCAAGTTTGAAACTTTGTTTGACTGTTAGCAGGCAAGGGCTCACCGCTGAGTAGCTCCACCAGCAACTACAGCGCCAATACCACCACCACCACCACCACCATGCCCTCTAGCACTACAACACCACCACCACCACCAAATAACCACCATGGCCACTAGCACCACCCAACACTACCACCACCATCCCCACCACCAACACCACCACCATCATCACCACCACCAACCCCTCCACTAACCCCCACAACCATCACCCACCCATCCACCCACCACCACCACCCACACACTCACCCCACCACTACCACCCACGCAACCACCAACCCACCCACCCACACACTCACCCCACCACCACCAACCCACCCACCCACCCATCCACCCACTCACCCCACCACCCACCAACCCACCCACCCACCCACTCACCCCACCACCCACCCACCCATCCACCCACTCACCCCACCACCCACCAACCCACTCACTCCACCACCACCACCAACCCACCCACCCATCCACCCACCCACGGACCCACCAACCCACCCACTCACCCCACCACCAACCCACCCATCCACCCACCCACCCACGGACCCACCAACCCACCCACTCACCCCACCACCATCAACCCACCCACCCACCAACCCACCCACCAACCCACTCAGTCCACCACCAACCCACCCACCACCCACCAACCCACCCATCCGCCCACTCACCCCACCACACACCCACCAACCCACCCACTCACCCACCAACCCACTCACTCCACCACCACCCACTCACCCCACCACCACCAACCCACCCACCCACCCACTCACCCCAACCCACTACCACCAACTCACCCCCACTCACCCACCAACCCACCCACCAACCCACTCACTCCATCACCCACCCACCAACCCACCCACTCACCCACCAACCCACTCACTCCACCACCACCCACTCACCCCACCACCACCAACCCACCCACCCACCCACCCACTCACCCCACCCCACTACCACCAACTCACCCCCACTCACCCACCAACCCACTCACGAACCCACTCAGTCCACCACCACCACCACCAACCAACCCACCCACCCACTCACCCCAACCCACCCACCAACCCCACCCACCCACCAACCCACTCACTCCACCACCACAACCAACCCACCACCACCAACCCACCCACCCACTCACCCCAACCCACTACCACCAACTCACCCCACCACCCACCAACCCACCCACCAACCCACTCAGTCCACCCACCACCATCAACCCACCCCCCCACCCACTCACCCCACCACCCACCAACCCACCAACCCACTCACTCCACCACCACCATCACCACCAACCCACCCACCCACCCACCAACCCACCCCAACCCACTACCACCAACTCACCCCACCACCCACCAACCCACCCACCAACCCACTCAGTCCACCCACCACCATCAACCCACCCACCCACCCACTCACCCCACCACCCACCAACCCACCAACCCACTCACTCCACCACCACCACCACCACCAACTAACCCACCCACCCACTCACCCCAACCCACCCACCAACCCCACCCACCCACCAACCCACTCACTCACCCTACCCACTACCACCAACTCACCCCCACTCACCCACCAACCCACCCACCAACCCACTCAGTCCACCCACCACCATCAACCCACCCACCCACTCACCAAAACTCACCCCACCACCCACCAACCCACCAACCCACTCACTCCACCACCACCATCACCCACAACCCACCCACCCACCCACCAACCCACCCCAACCCACTACCACCAACTCACCCCACCACCCACCAACCCACCCACCAACCCACTCAGTCCACCCACCACCATCAACCCACCCACCCACCCACTCACCAAAACTCACCCCACCACCCACCAACCCACCAACCCACTCACTCCACCACCACCATCACCCACAACCCACCCACCCCAACCCACTACCACCAACCCACCCACAACCCACCCACCCAGTGCCTCTGCCCCCCCCACCCCCACCACCACCACCCACCCCGCCCACCACCGCAGAGTGAAGGACCGCCTGGCCTCCCGTGGCGCGTCCCCCGCGGACCTGCTGGCCTTCTTCAAACAGCCGGCGGGCGCCACTCGCACCGCCGTGAGATCCGCCGAGACCCTCGACGTCGCCTTGGCTCTCCTCCTGCCTCGCCGCGCCAAGAGGGACCTCAACGACACCGGTAGAGCTGTTCGGGGCTGGGCGGTGGGCGGAGGGCTTCTATCCGCTGCTGGATGGCGCGCGGTGACGCTGATCGTTATCGGCACGGGCCGATGGTTCCCCGATCGACGTCCCTCCCCCGTTGGCCTCCGGCCTATCGCCGCAGACCGGCCGGGTCCGCGGGACCCGGCCGCGATCGGGAGAGGGGGGGGCTCGTCAGCCGGCACCCCGACGCTGATCGCGGGCGCATCGCGGCTCTGGATTTGAAGATTTTTCGCGACCGCAAGCAAATCCCGCGCACTTTGGTTCTATTCGGTCCGTGCTGTCCAGAGGGCAGCGTCGGAGTGAAGACAGCCAAGCCCAGGTCGCGTCCTTTAAGCTGTGTCTGGAGGAGACAAAAAAACGCCTTGACAAAGGAATTAGCGTAACAATGATGTAGAGGACCGGCACGGGGTTGGGTGAGGGGGGGAGGAGTTTACAAATGTTGGTTTGAAGGGAAATAAGCTGCTAGTTTGGGATACGCTACTTGAATAAATAAACTGTACCACTGAAAATTGGTTTAATGTTTGGTACGATTTAGAACATCTTTCCAATGATTGCTTAATTTGAAACCATCTTTTCTCGGTTGAAATTGTGTCTGTGTTTTTAAATCTGTATTGCCTCGTGGATAAATCTCTGATAAAAACCCGTGGGTTTGCAGAGGACCTTGGTATCGGAGAAAATTATATCGTGATCACCCACAGCGTTGTAACAGTGATCAATACAGTACACAAAATCCGTGACCTGATCCCTTCTGTGAAGGATGTCATTCCTGACTTACAGTACCCCGGGGTTTACAAATTGAGCTGCACTTGTGGTGATTGCTATATCGGGGAGACGAAACGGCATGTCTCTGACCGAATTCGCGAGCACAAATCAGATTTGAAACACGGCAGAACGAATTCTTCTGCCGTAGCTGATCACTGTTACAACGCTGTGGGCGATCACGATATAATTTTCTCCGATACCAAGGTCCTCTGCAAACCCACGGGTTTTTTTTATCAGAGATTTATCCACGAGGCAATTCAGATTTACAAACGCAGACACAATTTCAACCGAGGAAGATGGTTTCAAATTAAGCAATCATTGGAAAGATGTTCTAAATCATACCAAACATTAAACTAATTTTCAATGGTACAGTATATTTATTCAAGTAGCGTATCCCAAACTTTCATAGCAGCTTATTTCCCTTCACACCAACATTTGCGTTTGGTGATGCCGATTAGTTTGAGTGGCGGTGTTAGCCCGCGGGCGGATGTTTCTAATCGATGTGTCCGTTCGTTTCCGACCTATCGCCGCAGACTTCCTGAGTCCTCAGGACCTGGCCACGATCGCGCGCGTCACGGGCTGTGGCGCTCAGCTCCAGACGCCGCTCTGCTCCTCCGACTGCTTCAGCGACAAATACCAGGCGCACAACTCGGAGTGCAACAACAGGTGACATCGCCATCATCAACGTCACCATCAACAACGTGATCATCATCACCATCAACAACGTCACCATCATCAACATCAACAAATACCAGGCGCACAACTCGGAGTGCAACAACAGTGGGGGGGGGGGGGGGGGGGGGGGGGGGGAGATACCAGGCCATTAAAAACGATAGTCCCATAAGAAAGTGTTTATAAAAAAATATATATGTTGACGCTTCAAAAAAATGTTAACAGTCCATGCTGAGAATTCGTAACTGCCATCACACCGCCACCCCTCCACTCAACCCCCACTCAACCTGTCCTACACCCTCCCCCCCACCACCCGCAGAGCAAACCCGCGTCTGGGCGCTGCCAACGTGGCCCTTGTACGGTGGCTTCCGGCCGAGTACGATGACAATGCCTCGTTGCCACGTGGCTGGGACGAGGCGAAGCTTCACAACGGATTCGCTCTGCCTTCGGTCAGTCACACACACATCTACACACACACACATCTACATACACACACACCTACATACACCTACATACACACACACACCTACATACACTCACACATCTACATACACACACACACCTACATACACACACATCTACATACACACACACACCTACATACACACACACATCTACATACACACACACACCTACATACACACACACATCTACATACACACACACCTACATACACTCACACATCTACACACACACACACCTACATACACACACACACATCTACACACACATACACACATCTACACACACACACACATCTACATACACACACACACACACCTACACACACACACACATCTACATACACACACATCTACACACACACACACAGCTACATACACACACACACATCTACACACACACACACACATCTACACACACACACATCTACATACACACACACATCTACATACACACACACATCTACATACACCTACATACACACACAGCTACATACACACACACCTACATACACCTACATACACACACATCTACACACACACACACACATCTACATACACACACACACACCTACACACACACACACATCTACACACACACACACATCTACATACACACACATCTACACACACACACACACACCTACACACACACACACACATCTACATACACACACATCTACATACATCTACATACACACACATCTACACACACACACACACATCTACATACACACACACACACCTACACACACACACACATCTACACACACACACACACACATCTACATACACACACACATCTACACACACACACACACATCTACACACACACACACATCTACATACACACACACCTACATACACACACACATCTACATACACACACATCTACATACATCTACATACACACACATCTACACACACACATCTACATACACACACACACATCTACATACACACACACACATCTACATACACACACACATCTACATACACCTACATACACACACACACATCTACATACACACACCTACATACACCTACACACACACACATCTACATACACACACACACCTACATACACCTACATACACACACATCTACACACACACATCTACATACACACACACATCTACATACACACACACATCTACATACACACACATCTACATACACACACACACCTACATATGCCTACATACACACACACACATCTACATACACACACCTACATACACCTACACACACACACATCTACATACACACACACACACCTACATACACCTACATACACACACATCTACATACACACACACGCCTACATACACACACATCTACACACACACATCTACATACACACACACATCTACATACACCTACATACACACACAGCTACATACACACACACCTACATACACACAACAACCGCCATTCGCCACTAAGTGGCGGTGACGTCACAACGACGCTTGTGCCAGGCTATGTGCACCCTGAGGCCACGTGAAGTGTCGAACGCCCGTTGGCAGGTCAAGGGGCAGACCCAGGTGCCACGGGTCGACTGACTGAGATGACTGGCTGATGCACCACCTGTGCCCCCTACTGTGCCAACCTGCTGTGCTTTAGCCACCTGGTGCTCCGCTCGTTGTTCTGAGCGTCGCTCCTCCGCCCTCCGTTGTTGTTGGAGGGCGACTGCCTCCAACTGCCCAGTAGCATCCTTCACGAGCCTCCTCCACAGAGGCCGATCTTGACACCGCTGGTACCAGTCATCGGCAAGTCCACTCAGCTCCACGTCCTCCTGTACCACATCACTCCATCTCTTCTCTAGACCGTGCCGCGCCCGCTTAGCCCCCTCAATCCGGCCAAACAAAAGCTTTTTCGGCATGCGGTGGCTGGGCATGCGGGCTACATGACCCAGCCATCGCAGCCTTGCCTGCCGGAGGAGCTCACCGATGGGACCCTGCTCGCTTGCAGCAACTTGCCCCTAGAGACTGTTAAAGGCTACACGGGGGACCTTTGTCTTTGTTTCTTACGCACCTTTCGGAGATGTTGGGTCAACGTTGGTCTCCCCCCCCACATCCCCCTCCCTCCCTCCCTCTCCTCCCACCAACCCACCCCACACCACACACCACCCACACCACCCACACACCCCACCCACACACACCCCACACACACCACAACCCACACACCCACCCCACCCACACACAACCCACACCACACACAACCCACACACACCACCACACCACCAACACACCACCCACACACAACCCACACCACACAACCCACACACAACACAACCCACACACAACCCACACCACACACCACACACAACACCACCCACACACAACCCACACCACAACCCACACACAACCCACACACCACCCACACCACACACACAACACCACCCACACACCACACCACACACACCACACCACACACCCCCCACACACCACACAACAACCCCACACACCCCACCCACACACCACACACCCACACAACCCACACCACACACACCCCACACACAACACAACCCACACACAACCCACACCACACACCACACACCCACACAACCCACACAACCCACACCACACACACCCCACCCACACACCACACACACACAACACAACCCACACACAACCCACACCACACCCCACACACCTCACCCACACACCACACACACAACACAACCCACACCACCAACAACAACCACACCACCCACACCACCCACACAACCTACACACCACACACACAACACAACCCACACCACACACACCCCACGCACACCACCCACACACACACCACACACTACACCACACACCCTCCACACAACAACCCCACACACATACCACCCCCCACACAACCCACACAACCCACACACCACCCCCCACACACACCACACACCCTCCACACCACCCACCCACCCCCCCCACACACCCACCCACCAGGTGCGCGTGGTGTCCAACGAGATCGTGCGCCTTGCGGCGGGCGCCGCGTCGTCCCGGGACGACGTCGCCTCGCTGTCCAGCGCCTTCGTGCAGTGGGGTCAGTGGACGGCTCATGACACCGACCTGACCCCGCAGAGCCCCAGCCTGCGCTCCTTCGCCGGGGGCCTCGACTGCGACTCCTCCTGCGACAGACGAGAACCCTGCTTCCCCATACAGGTAGCGGGGAGGGCGCGGGGAGGGCGGGGAGGGACGTCGGGGCGACGTTCGGGGGGCGGACGTTCGGGTGGATATTCGGGGGGAGGACGTTCGGGTGGATATTCGGGGCGGACGTTCAGGCGCACGTTCGGGTGGATATTCGGGGGGAGGACGTTCGGGGGCGGACGTTCGGGTGGATATTCGGGGCGGACGTTCAGGCGGACGTTCGGGTGGATATTCGGGGCGGACGTTCGGGGGGCGGACGTTCGGGTGGATATTCGGGGCGGACGTTCAGGCGCACGTTCGGGTGGATATTCGGGGGGAGGACGTTCGGGTGGATATTCGGGGAGGACGTTCAGGCGCACGTTCGGGTGGATATTCGGGGGGAGGACGTTCGGGTGGATATTCGGGGCGGACGTTCAGGCGCACGTTCGGGTGGATATTCGGGGGGAGGACGTTCGGGGGGCGGACGTTCGGGTGGATATTCGGGGGGAGGACGTTTGGGGGCGGATGTTCGGGTGGATATTCGGGGCGGACGTTCAGGCGCACGTTCGGGTGGATATTCGGGGGGAGGACGTTCGGGGGCGGACGTTCGGGTGGATATTCGGGGCGGACGTTCGGGGGCGGACGTTCGGGTGGATATTCGGGGGCGGACGTTCGGGTGGATATTCGGGGCGGACGTTCAGGCGCACGTTCGGGTGGATATTCGGGGGGAGGACGTTCGGGGGCGGACGTTCGGGTGGATATTCGGGGAGGACGTTCAGGCGCACGTTCGGGTGGATATTCGGGGGGAGGACGTTCGGGGGCGGACGTTCGGGTGGATATTCGGGGCGGACGTTCAGGCGCACGTTTGGGTGGATATTCGGGGGGAGGACGTTCGGGGGCGGACGTTCGGGTGGATATTCGGGGGGAGGACGTTCGGGGGCGGACGTTCGGGTGGATATTCGGGTCGGACGTTCGGGGGGCGGACGTTCGGGTGGATATTCGGGGAGGACGTTCGGGGGGCGGACGTTCGGGTGGATATTCGGGGCGGACGTTCGGGGGGCGGACGTTCGGGTGGATATTCGGGGCGGACGTTCAGGCGCACGTTCGGGTGGATATTCGGGGGGAGGACGTTCGGGGGCGGACGTTCGGGTGGATATTCGGGGCGGACGTTCAGGCGCACGTTCGGGTGGATATTCGGGGCGGACGTTCAGGCGCACGTTCGGGTGGATATTCGGGGAGAGGACGTTCGGGGGCGGACGTTCGGGTGGATATTCGGGGAGAGGACGTTCGGGGGCGGACGTTCGGGTGGATATTCGGGGCGGACGTTCAGGCGCACGTTCGGGTGGATATTCGGGGAGGACGTTCGGGGGCGGACGTTCGGGTGGATATTCGGGGAGGACGTTCAGGCGCACGTTCGGGTGGATATTCGGGGAGGACGTTCGGGGGCGGACGTTCGGGTGGATATTCGGGGCGGACGTTCGGGGGCGGACGTTCGGGTGGATATTCGGGGCGGACGTTCGGGCGCACGTTCGGGTGGATATTCGGGGCGGACGTTCGGGGGGCGGACGTTCGGGTGGATATTCGGGGCGGACATCGAGGCGGACGTTGAGGCGAAGTTGGGCGGATGTTCGGGCGGACGTTGAGGCGACGTTGGGTGAATGTTGAGGCGACGTTGGGCGGATGTTGAGGCGACGTTGGGCGAATGTTCGGGTGGATGTTGAGGTGGATGTTGAGGTGGATGTTCGGGCGGACGTTGAGGAGGACGTTGAGGTGGACGTTGAGGTGGATGTTGGGCGGACGTTCGGGTGGATGTTGACGGTGGACGTTGAGGTGGATGTTGAGGCGACGTTGGGCGAATGTTGAGGCGCACGTTGAGGCGAATGTTCGGGCGGACGTTCGGGTGGATGTTGGGCAGACGTTGAGGTGGATGTTGGGTGGACGTTGAGGTGGACGTTGACGGTGGACGTTGAGGTGGATGTTGAGGCGACGTTGGGCGAATGTTCGGGCGCACGTTGAGGCGAACGTCGGAGCAACATTGGGGTGATGTTGCGCAATTGTCGTTGGGTGAACGTTGGGGCGACGATTGGCGAACGTTGGTTTTAACGTTTGCAGAACGTTGGGGCAACGTTGGGCGAACGTTGGGGCGAACGTTGGTATGCAGTTGGAACGTTTGGAAAGCAGACCGCGGTTGTAACCTCTGGTAGACATTGGGCCTACGTCCGTGTGAGGGCGGAGCCGCTGGTTCAGCATCTCTCTCTCTGTCTCACCAAGCTCACACTGTATTCTCTTTTCACCCACCCACCACCACCACCTCCTCCTCAACACCACCACCACCACCACCGCTCCACCACCACCACCACCGCTCCACCACTACCACCACCACCGCTCCACCACCACCACTCCACCACCACCACCACCACCACCGCTCCACCACCACCACCTGCCGCTCCACCATCACCACCTCACCACCACCACCACCACCGCTCCACCATCACCACCTCACCACCACCACCACCACCGCTCCACCATCACCACCTCACCACCACCACCACCGCTCCATCATCACCACCTCACTACCACCACCACCGCTCCACAACCACCGTCCACCATCACCACCTCACCACCACCACCGCTCCATCATCACCACCTCACCATCACCACCTCACCACCACCACCACTGCTCCACCAACACCACCACCGCTCCACCACCACCACCACCGCTCCACCACCACCACCACCGCTCCACCACCCCCGCTCCATCACCACCGTTCCACCACCACCACCACCACCACCTCACCACCACCACCACCGCTCCACCATCACCACCTCACCACCACCACCACTGCTCCACAAACACCACCACCGCTCCACCACCACTACCACCACCGCTCCACCACCACCGCTCCACCATCACCACCTCACCACCACCACCACCACCGCTCCACCATCACCACCTCACCACCACCACCACCGCTCCATCATCACCACCTCACTACCACCACCACCGCTCCACCACCACCGCTCCACCATCACCACCTCACCACCACCACCGCTCCATCATCACCACCTCACCACCACCACCTCACCACCACCACCACTGCTCCACCAACACCACCACCGCTCCACCACCACCACCACCGCTCCACCACCACCACCACCGCTCCACCACCCCCGCTCCATCACCACCGTTCCACCACCACCACCACCACCTCACCACCACCACCACCGCTCCACCATCACCACCTCACCACCACCACCACTGCTCCACAAACACCACCACCGCTCCACCACCACTACCACCACCGCTCCACCACCACCGCTCCACCATCACCACCTCACCACCACCGTTCCACCACCACCACCACCGCACCACCACCACCACCGCTCCACCACCACCACCACCACTTCAAAACCACCATCACCAACCACACCACCACCAACCCACACACCACACCACCACCACAAAACCCACCAAAACCAAAACACCCCCCCAAACAAACTCAAAAAACAGGTCCCAGCCAACGACACGCGCATCAACCGCACCGCCTCGGCGTGCATCCCTTTCTTCCGCTCGTCGCCCGCGTGCGGCACGGGCGACCGGGCGGCCGTCTTTGGCCTGCCCGCGGCCGGCGGCCCCCGCCCTCGTGAGCAGCTCAACGCCATCACGGCCTTCGTGGACGCCGGCCAGGTGTACGGCAGCGGCCGCGCGGTGGCCGCGGGGCTGCGAGGGGCGGGCGGGGAGCTGCGGGTGAACGGCGACTACACGGACGGAGGGCGCGGCCTGCCGCCCTTCGCGGAGGGCGTGGGCGCCAGCGCTTGCGCGCTGAACCGCGACGGGTCGCCCGTCGTGCCGTGCTTCCTCGCCGGTGCGTGGTTGTGGTTGGTGGTGGGGGGGGTGGTTGTGGTGGGGGGGGGTGGGGGTGGGGTGGTGGGGGGGGGTGGGGGGAGGTGGTGGGGGGAGTGGTGGTGGGGTTGTGGTGGTGTTGGGGTGGTGGTGGTGGAGTTGGGATGGTGGTGGTGTGGTGGAGTGGGGGTGGTGGAGTTGGGATGGTGGTGGTGTGGTGGAGTGGTGGTGGTGGTGTGGTGGAGTGGTGGTGGTGGTGTGGTGGAGTGGTGGAGTGGTGTGGTGGTGGTGTTGGTGGTGTGGTGGAGTGGTGGAGTGGTGGTGGTGGGGTGGAGTTGGGATGGTGGTGGTGTGGTGGAGTGGTGGTGGTGGTGTGGTGGAGTGGTGGAGTGGTGTGGTGGTGTTGGTGGTGTGGTGGTGTTGGTGGGATGGTGGTGGTGGAGTTGGGATGGTGGTGGTGTGGTGGAGTGGTGGTGGTGTTGGTGGGATGGTGGTGGTGTGGTGGGGTGGTGGTGGGGGTAGGGTTGTGGGGTGGGTGATGGTGGTGGTGTGGTGGTGGGGGGGTGGTGGTGGTGGTAGGGTGGGGTGGGTGGTGGTGGTGGGGGGGTTGTGTTGGGGTTGTGGTGGTGTTGGGGTGGTGGTGGTGTGGTGGTGGTAGGGTTGTGGGGTGGTGGTGGTGTTGGTGGGATGGTGGTGGTGGAGTTGGGATGGTGGTGGTGTGGTGGAGTGGTGGTGGTGTTGGTGGGATGGTGGTGGTGGAGTTGGGATGGTGGTGGTGTGGAGGAGTGGTGGTGGTGTTGGTGGGGTGGTGGTGGTGTTGGTGGGATGGTGGTGGTGTTGGTGGGATGGTGGTGGTGTTGGTGGGATGGTGGTGGTGTTGGTGGGATGGTGGTGGTGTTGGTGGGATGGTGGTGGTGGTGTGGTGGTGGTGGTGTGGTGGTGTGGTGGTGGTGTTGGTGGTGTGGTGGGGTGGTGGTGGTGGGGTGGAGTTGGGATGGTGGTGGTGTGGTGGGGGGGGTTGTGGGGGGGGGTGGTGGTGGTGGGGGGGGGGGTGTTGGTGGTGTTGGGATGGTGGTGGTGGTGTGGTGGAGTGGTGGTGGTGTTGGTGGGATGGTGGTGGTGGAGTTGGGATGGTGGTGGTGTGGTGGAGTGGTGGGGTGGTGGTGGGGTGGTGGTGGGGGTAGGGTTGTGGGGTGGTGGTGGTGGGATGGTGATGGTGGTGGTGTGGTGGTGGTGGTGGTGGTGTGGTGGGGTGGTGGTGGTGGTGTGGTGTGTTGGTGGTGTGGTGGAGTGGTGGGGTGGTGGTGGTGGAGTTGGGATGGTGGTGGTGTGGTGGAGTGGTGGGGTGGTGGTGGGGGTAGGGTTGTGGGGTGGTGGTGGTGGAGTGGTGGTGGTGGAGTTGGGATGGTGGTGGTGGTGGTGTGGTGGTGGGGTGGTGTTGGTGGTGTGGTGGTGGTGGTGGTGGAGTGGTGGTGGTGGTGGTGGAGTTGGGATGGTGGTGGTGATTGATGCTCGCTGATGCCCTGCGATGACGATCGATGTCTGCTGACGACGACGATGACGACGATGCTGCTGCCGATGATGACGATCATGCCTGCGATAATGCCCACAATGATGACGATGATGACGATCATGCCTGCGATAATGCCCACAATGATGACGATGATGACGATGCTACTGCCGATGACGATGCCGATGACGACGCCCCCGATGATGACGATCATGCCTACGATGATGATGACGATGATGACGACGATGACGACGATGATGACGATAATGATGATGACGATGACGATGATGACGACGATGCTACTGCCGATGACGATGCCGTTGATGACGATCATGCCTACGATGACGATGATGACGACGATGATGACGATGATGATGACGATGATGACGATGATGACGATGATGATGATGAGGACCGCGATGATGACGATGACGACGATGATGATGATGAGAACCGCGATGATGACGATGATGACGATGATGATGACGACGATGATGACGATGATGACGACGATGATGACGATGATGACGATGATAACGATAATAACGATGCTACTGCCGATGACGATGCCGTTGACGACGCCCGCGATGATGACAATGACGACGATGATGACGATGAGGACGGCGATGATGACGATGATGATGATGACGATCATGACGATGACGACGATGATGACGATGAGGCCCGCGACGATTCCTCTGCAGGCGAGGTGCGCGCGAACGAGAACAACGGCCTCATCGCGTTCCACGCCGTGTTCCTGCGCGAGCACAACCGGGTGGCACGTGCCCTGCGGGAACTCAACCCACACTGGGGGGGCGAGTCCGTGTACCAGGAGACACGCAGGATACTCGCAGCCTACATGCAGGTGGCGGGGCTGAGTGACTGTGGGATGGAGTGACTGAGTGACTGAGTGACTGAGTGATTGCGGGACTGAGTGGCTGAGTGACTGAGTGGCTGAGTGGCTGAGTGACTGAGTGGCTGAGTGGCTGAGTGACTGAGTGACTGAGTGACTGAGTGAATGAGTGACTGAGTGAATGAGTGAATGAGTGGCTGAGTGTCTGAGTGGCTGAGTGACTGAGTGGCACGTGCCCTGCGGGAACTCAACCCACACTGGGGGGGCGAGTCCGTGTACCAGGAGACACGCAGGATACTCGCAGCCTACATGCAGGTGGGGGAGCTGAGTGACTGTGGGATGGAGTGACTGAGTGACTGAGTGGCTGAGTGACTGAGTGGCTGTGGGACTGAGTGACTGAGTGGCTGAGTGACTGAGTGGCTGAGTGACTGAGTGGCTGAGTGGCTGAGTGGCTGAGTGACTGTGGGACTGAGTGGCACGTGCCCTGCGGGAACTCAACCCACACTGGGGGGGCGAGTCCGTGTACCAGGAGACACGCAGGATACTCGCAGCCTACATGCAGGTGGGGGAGCTGAGTGACTGTGGGACTGTGGGACTGAGTGACTGAGTGGCTGAGTGGCTGAGTGACTGTGGGACTGAGTGGCACGTGCCCTGCGGGAACTCAACCCACACTGGGGGGGCGAATCCGTGTACCAGGAGACGCGCAGGATACTCGCAGCCTACATGCAGGTGGCGGGGCTGAGTGACTGTAGGATGGAGTGGCTGAGTGGCTGAGTGACTGAGTGGCTGAGTGATGGAGTGACTGAGTGACTGAGTGATGGAGTGACTGAGTGACAGAGTGACAGAGTGACTGAGTGACTGAGTGGCTGAGTAACTGAGTGAAAAAGTGGCTGAGTGACTGAGTGATGGAGTAAATGAGTGACTGAGTGACTGAGTGACTGAGTGGCTGAGTGATGGAGTAAATGAGTGACTGAGTGACTGCGGGACTGAGTGGCACGTGCCCTGCGGGAACTCAACCCACACTGGGGGGGCGAGTCCGTGTACCAGGAGACACGCAGGATACTCGCAGCCTACATGCAGGTGGCGGGGCTGAGTGACTGTGGGACGGAGTGACTGAGTGACTGAGTGGCTGAGTGACTGAGTGACTGAGTGACTGCGGGACTGAGTGGCTGAGTGGCTGAGTGGCTGAGTGGTTGAGTGACTGAGTGGCTGAATAGCTGAGTGGCTGAGTGGCTGAGTGACTGAGTCGCTGAGTGACTGAGTGACTGAGTAACTGAGTGACTGAGTGACTGCGGGACTGAGTGGCTGAGTGACTGAGTGACGGAGTGACTGAGTGGCACGCGCCCTGCGGGAACTCAACCCCCACTGGGGGGGCGAGTCCGTGTACCAGGAGACGCGCAGGATACTCGCAGCCTACATGCAGGTGGAGGGGCTGAGTGGCTGTGGGACGGAGTGGCTGAGTGACTGTGGGACAGAGTGACTGAGTGACTGAATGACTGAGTGGCTGAGTGGCTGTGGGACTGAGTGACTGAGTGAATGTGGGATGGAGTGGCTGAGTGACTGAGTGGCTGAGTGACTGAGTGACTGAGTGGCTGAGTGGCTGAGTGACTGAGTGACTGAGTGACTGTGGGACAGTGACTGAGTGACTGAGTGACTGAGTGGCTGAGTGAATGAGTGACGGAGTGACTGAGTGACTGCGGGACTGAGTGGCTGAGTGGCTGAGTGACTGAGTGAATGTGGGATGGAGTGGCTGAGTGGCTGAGTGACTGAGTGACTGAGTGACAGAGTGACTGAGTGGCTGAGTGACTGAGTGGCTGAGTGGCTGAGTGACTGTGGGACAGAGTGACTGAGTGACTGAGTGACTGAGTGGCTGAGTGAATGAGTGACGGAGTGACTGAGTGACTGCGGGACTGAGTGGCTGAGTGGCTGAGTGACTGAGTGAATGTGGGATGGAGTGGCTGAGTGGCTGAGTGACTGAGTGAATGAGTGGCTGAGTGGCTGTGGGACTGAGTGACTGAGTGGCACGCGCCCTGCGGGAACTCAACCCCCACTGGGGGGGCGAGTCCGTGTACCAGGAGACACGCAGGATACTCGCAGCCTACATGCAGGTGGCGGGGCTGAGTGGCTGTGGGACGGAGTGACTGAGTGATGGAGTGACTGTGGGACGGAGTGACTGAGTGACTGAGTGACGGAGTGACGGAGTGACTGTGGGACTGAGTGGCTGAGTGACAGAGTGGCTGAGTGGCTGAGTCGGTGAGTGACTGAGTGGCTGAGTGGCTGAGTGGCTGAGTGGCTGAGTGACAGAGTGACAGAGTGACTGAGTGTCTGAGTGACTGTGGGATGGAGTGACTGAGTGGCTGAGTGACTGAGTGTCTGAGTGACTGTGGGACTGAGTGGCTGAGTGACTGAGTGACTGAGTGACTGAGTGACTGAGTGGCTGAGTGACTGAGTGGCTGAGTGGCTGAGTGACTGTGGGACAGAGTGACTGAGTGACTGAGTGGTTGAGTGACTGAGTGGCTGTGTGACTGAGTGACTGAGTGACTGAGTGACTGAGTGGCTGAGTGACTGAGTGACTGAGAGGCTGAGTGGCTGAGTGGCTGAGTGGTTGAGTGACGGAGTGACAGAGTGACTGAGTGTCTGAGTGACTGTGGGACTGAGTGGCTGAGTGACTGAGTGACTGAGTGACTGAGTGAATGAGTGGCTGAGTGGCTGTGGGACTGAGTGACTGAGTGGCACGTGCCCTGCGGGAACTCAACCCCCACTGGGGGGGCGAGTCCGTGTACCAGGAGACACGCAGGATACTCGCAGCCTACATGCAGGTGGAGGGGCTGAGTGGCTGTGGGACGGAGTGGCTGAGTGACTGAGTGACTGAGTGGCTGAGTGACTGTAGGATGGAGTGGCTGAGTTGCTGAGTGACTGTGGGACTGACTGGGGGACTGAGTGACTGAGTGACTGTGGGATGGAGTGACTGAGTGACAGAGTGACTGAGTGACTGTGGGACAGAGTGGCTGAGTTGCTGAGTGGCTGAGTGACTGGGGGGCTGAGTGACTGAGTGACTGTGGGATGGAGTGACTGAGTGACAGAGTGACTGAGTGACTGTGGGACAGAGTGGCTGAGTTGCTGAGTGGCTGAGTGACTGGGGGACTGAGTGACTGAGTGACTGTGGGACAGAGTGGCTGAGTTGCTGAGTGACTGAGTGACTGGAGGACTGAGTGACTGAGTGACTGAGTGACTGGGGGACTGGGGGACTGACTGGAGGACTGAGTGACTGAGTGACTGAGTGACTGGAGGACTGAGTGACTGAGTGACTGAGTGACTGACTGAGTAACTGAGTGACTGAGTGAGCGACGTTTCGCCCCCCCTCGAACGTCGCCACGGACATCGACTCAACATCAACCTCCCCCACCACCACCACCACCCACCACCACCACCACCACCACCCACCCCACCACCACCACCACAACAACCACCCCTTCACCAACTCGCAGATCATCACGTGGCGGGACTACGTGCCCCGGGTGATCGGGCCGGCCGCGGCCAACGCCACCCTGGGGCCGTACTCCGGCTACGACCCCAGCGCCGACCCCCGCATCGCCAACGTCCACGCGACCGCCGCCTTCCGCTTCGGCCACGTCACCGTGCAGCCAGTGCTTCAGCGGCTCGGCGACAACTACCGGGAGCACCCCCGCTACCCCAACCTGGCCCTGCACCGGGCCTTCCTGTCGCCCTGGAGGATCGTCGAGGAAGGTGCCGGCGGCGTGTGTGTTGGTGTGTGTTGGTGTTGGTGTGTGTGTGTTGGTGTTGGTGTGTGTTGGTGTGTGTGTTGGTGTGTGTGTGTGTTGGTGTGTGTTGGTGTTGGTGTGTGTGTTGGTGTGTTGGTGTGTGTGTGTTGGTGTGTGTGTGTTGGTGTGTGTGTTGGTGTGTGTGTGTTGGTGTGTGTGTTGGTGTGTGTGTGTTGGTGTGTGTGTTGGTGTGTGTGTGTTGGTGTGTGTGTTGGTGTGTGTGTTGGTGTGTGTGTGTGTGTTGGTGTGTGTTGGTGTGTGTTGGTGTGTGTTGGTGTGTGGGCACGTGTGCGTGTGTGTGTGTGCGCGCGTGTGTAGGCGCGTGTGTGCGTGGGCACGTCTATGGGCACGTGTACGGGCAGGTGTATGGGCAGGTGTATGGGCAGGTGTATGGGCAGGTGTATGGGCAGGTGTATGGGCAGGTGTATGGGCAGGTGTGTGGGCACGTGTATGGGCAGGTGTATGGGCAGGTGTGTGGGCACGTGTATGGGCAGGTGTATGGGCAGGTGTATGGGCAGGTGTACGGGCACGTGTATGGGCACGTGTATGGGCTGGTGTATGGGCAGGTGTATGGGCAGGTGTATGGGCAGGTGTGTGGGCACGTGTATGGGCAGGTGTATGGGCACATATATGGGCAGGTGTATGGGCACGTGTATGGGCAGGTGTATGGGCTGGTGTATGGGCACGTGTGTGGGCAGGTGTATGGGCTGGTGTATGGGCAGGTGTACGGGCACGTGTGTGGGCTGGTGTATGGGCACGTGTATGGGCAGGTGTATGGGCAGGTGTGTGGGCACGTGTATGGGCTGGTGTATGGGCACGTGTATGGGCAGGTGTGTGGGCACGTGTGTGGGCAGGTGTATGGGCACATGCGTGTGTTACTTGTGCCCTCCCCCACTGAAGACGAACATCCGTGGAGGGATCGCAGGCAAGGCCGAGGAGTCAGGTGACTTCGATGGCCTTGCTGTCGCAGGTGCCGGCTGAAGTGGCCCTCTTTGGGCTTAGAGCCATCCTGATTGGGCGACGTCAACGCCCGAGTTGGTCCGTGATGCTGGCACCTGGCCCGGAGTGATTGGAAGCAAGGGGCGGAGCCGGGATTTCAGGCCGGGGTGACAATCAACAACAAATTATGTTAATATCGAGAATGATTTAGAGAGAGAGAGAGAGTCAGGCTGTTGAACTTAGACGCCATCGGTTTGGCGGACACGCTCTGACAGTGCAGTTGTCACGGAGTCCTCTAGACCGAGTGTCGTACACTTACACGCAGAATGTCAACACCCCCGTCACCACCCCCCCTGGCTCCGCCCCTGTGTATGACGTGTGCGTATGACGTGTGTATGACGCGTGTATGACGTGTGTATGACATGTGAGTATGACGTGTGTGTATGACGTGCGTATGACGTGTGTATGACGTGTGTGTGTATGACGTGTGTGTGTGTATGACGTGTGTATAACGTGTGTATGACGCGGGTGTGTTTGAAGTGTGTATGACGTGTGTGTGTGACGTGTGTGTATGACGTGTGTATGTATGAATTGTGTATGACGTGCGTGTATGACGTGTGTGTGTATGAAGTGTGTATGACCAGGGGCGGAGCCAGGATTTCAGGCCGGGGGGACAATCAACAACAAATGTTAATATCGAGAATGATTTAGAGAGAGAGAGTCAGGCTGTTGAACTTAGACGCCATCGGTTTGGCGGACACGCTCTGACAGTGCAGTTGTCACGGAGTCCTCTAGACCGAGTGTCGTACACTTACACGCAGAATGTCACCACCCCCGTCACCACCCCCCCCCCTGGCTCCGCCCCTGATTGGAAGGCATGAAGCCAGATCAGCTCAATGACAACGGTAGGAGGCTGCTGGATTTTTGTGCAGCCCATGGGCTTGTAATTACCAACACGCTGTTCCGGCATCGGCGCATCCACACAACATCATGGATGCATGCCGGGTCCAAGCAAGAACATCTGCTGGACTACGTAGTGACGGAACAGCGGATGCAGGCCCATGTCCTTGACACCAGGACCTACCGTGGAGCTGATCTGCCCACTTGACCATCGACTTGTCATCTGTAAGATGCGCCTGCCATTCTTCCACTCCGGTGGTGGGTGTACACCCAGGACAAAAAGCTCTCTTTATAGTAATTTTGCTGCGCTAGTTACACCCGATGACAAGGACTTGTGTTGCCTCCGAAACGTCGTGATTTGATTAACTTTTATTTTTTTTATTTTTACCTACGTTACTTTACCGAAAGGATCATTGCAGTCACGGAAACTTCAAACTCAGGACCTCATTCAAACCCTTTGTGGCATGGTCTCAGCTAGCTGATGAGAGTTTCAAGCGAGAATTTCATCATCGCTTGCGGCTGGGATTGACATCGTCCCCGACTCCTCCTGATGTCGAGGGTAAATGGGCAAGGTTTAGGACTGTGACTCATTCAGCTGCAATGGCTGCTTTGGGTACGCGGTCCAGACCTCCCCAGAGACCCTGGCTGACATAGGTGTTCAGGCTGGCTGAGAAAAAGCGACAGGCCCACTCTCATCGGCTACAGCATCCCACGTCAGAGAATGAGGAGGCTTTCCGCAGCCTTCGCTCGGAGGTTCGGAGAGCCGTGAGGCACTGCAAGGATGGGTGGTGGTCGCGGGTTGCTGAGGAGATGGAGTCTGCCTCAGTGGCCCGCGATCACAAATTGCTTAAACTCCATCAAAAAGTAACCTGCAGCGCCACACCTATTACCATCATAAGGGGAAAGAACGGTGACCCAATCTCCGACCCCCAAGAACAGGTTTGCAGATTTGCTGAGCATTTCTGTGAGGTCCTGGGGGAGGGGAAATCCCTCAACCAGGAAAACATCGTGGCACAAAGTGGGGATGACCCTGCTGAGGCTGCATTGCCTCAAATGTTGGAAAAAGAAGTCACCTCCTGTGAGTGGCTGGATGAGGTGCCATTTGGTGAGGAAGTACTGATGGCGATCCAGAGTCTGAGGCCTCCCAAGCGAAATGCGGAGGGAAGGTGGCATTTGTGCACAAACTGCCTTATATGACATCATAACAACAGTCTGGACAACTGGACGAGTTCCGCAGGATTGGAAGGATGCCCTGGTGGTGTAACAACTGCAGGGGCATCTCACTCCTCAATGTGCCGGGAAAGGTCCTGGCAAAGATTATTCAACATCGCCTTGGCAGGCATGCTGAAGAGAGGCTTGCGGAGCCCCAATGCGGTTTCAGGAAAGGGCGGTCCTGCACAAATGCCATATTTTCTGTCCGTCTGCTACAGCAGAGGTGTAGGGAATTCCAACAAGACCTACATCTCTGCTTTATTGTACTGGTCAAGGCCTATGATACCATCATTAGGCCTGGGCTCTGGGTTGTTCTCCGTACTTTCAGAGTCCCTGACCCTCTGCTCACGATCATTAAGGACCTTCATGATGGTGAGCGGGCCCAGGTAAAACTACGTGGCCGGGAGTCAGAGCCATTCCCTGTACACCTTGGGGTGCAACAGGGATGTCCTCTGGCTCCCACATTATTTAACATCTATTTTGACCACGTAGTTTGTGAAGCTTTCAATAGCTATACCGGAGGAATTTCCATCTGGTACAGATACAATGGGAGGCTCATCGATGTCTGGGTACGGTCAAGGGATGGTTCCCTATTGCTAAACAATGTTACGTATGACGATGATCTGGTAATTGCTGCTCACTCAGAGGAGGAGTTGGAGGCGCTGCTGCTGAGACTGGAGTGTGCCACTAAGAGATGGGGCCTTACCATCAGCCCCACCAAAACTAAGCACCTGCCTGGGTATTTTGTACCATCGGGCACTCCATCCCCACAACTACCAATCGGTGATGGGGCAGTTGTGGAGAGAGTGGAGAGTTTCCCATACCTGGGCAGTGTGCTTATGACCGGCTCGGGTTTAACAGCAGAGATCTCACTCCGAATCAGTCGAGCGGCATTATCTTTTCATCGGTTTCGTAACGCTGTGTGGAAGATACCTGGTCTCTCAATCCGCACGAAGCTTCAGGTCTTCTCGGCCACGGTCATTCCTTCCCTTCTCTACGCTTGCGAAACGTGGACACCCCTAATGGAACATCTTCGCTGGTTAGAAACATTTAGGCTGGCCTGCCTACGATCCATCCTGGGTATAACCAGGCTGGATTGTGTGAGGAGGTCACAAATCCTTGAAAGATCTGGGCAAGGTCCCATCGGTGAGCTCCTCCGGCAGGCAAGGCTGCGTTGGCTGGGTCACGTAGCCCGCATGCCCAGCCACCGCATGCCGAAACAGCTTTTGTTCGGCCGGATCGAGGAGGCTAAACAGGCGCGGCACGGGCTAGAGAAGAGATGGAGTGATGTGGTACAGGAGGACGTGGAGCTGAGTGGACTTGCCGATGACCGGTACCAGCGGAGTCAAGATCGGCCTCTTGGAGGAGGCTCGTGAAGGACGCTGCTGGGCAGTTGGAGTCAGTCGCCCTCCAACAACAACGTAGGGCGTAGGAGCGACGCTCAAAACAACGAGCGGAGTGCCGGGTGGCTAAAGCACAGCAGGTTGGCACAGTAGGGGGCACAGGTGGTGCATCAGCCAGTCATCTCAGTCAGTCGACCCGTGGCACCTGCTGGGTCTGCCCCGTGACCTCCTGCCAGCGGGCGTTTGACACTTTACGTGGCCTCAAGGTGCACATGGCCTGGCACAAGCGTCGTGGTGACGTCACTGCCACTTAGTGGCGAATGGCGGTTATTGTTGTTGTGTGTCTGTGTGTGCGCGTGCGTGTGTGTGTGCGTGTGTGCGTGTGTACGTATGTGTGTCTGTGCGTGTGTGCCGACAATCCGAACCGGTTCCTGGACACCTCACCTAGGTCGACTCAGCCTCAAATGAGCTACCCTCGTGCCCGTGGTGTGCGGCAAAAAACATCGCCACTGCGGGTTGGGGACGGTGAGACAAAGGCGGCCGGGCGTGGTTGCTGGCCACCCACCCACCCACCCACCAACTCCTCCTCCTCTTCCTCCTCCTCCTCCTCGTCCTCGTCCGCAGGCGGAGTGGACCCGGTCCTGCGGGGTCTCATCGGCAGTCCGGCCAAGCAGAACGCCCTCTACGAGATGATGCCCGACGAGCTGAGGGAGAAGCTCTTCGCTATGACGCGTCAACTGGCGCTCGACCTCGCCTCGCTCAACCTGCAGCGCGGGCGAGACCACGGACTGCCTGGTCAGCCGTCCCCTCTGTCTGGCCTGCTGGCCTGCTGTCTGGCCGTCTGGCCTGCTGTCTGTTTGGCCGTCTGGCCTGCTGTCTGTCTGTCCGTCTGGCCTGCTGTCTGTCTGTTTGTCTGGCCTGCTGTCTGTCTGTTTGTCTGGCCTGCTGTCTGTTTGTCTGGCCTGCTGTCTGTCTGTCCGTCTGGCCTGCTGTCTGTATGTCTGGCCTGCTGTCTGTCTGTTTCTCTGGCCTGCTGTCTGTCTGTCCGTCTGGCCTGCTGGCTGTCTGTTTGTCTGGCCTGCTGTCTGTCTGTTTGTCTGGCCTGCTGTCTGTCCGTCTGTCTGGCCTGCTGTCTGTCTGTTTGTCTGGCCTGCTGTCTGTCCGTCTGTCTGGCCTGCTGTCTGTCTGTTTGTCTGGCCTGCTGTCTGGCCGTCTGTCTGGCCTGCTGTCTGTCTGTTTGTCTGGCCTGCTGTCTGTCTGTCCATCTGGCCTGCTGTCTGTCCGTCTGGCCTGCTGGCTGTCTGTCCGTCTGGCCTGCTGTCTGTCTGTTTGTCTGGCCTGCTGTCTGTCTGTTTGTCTAGCCTGCTGTCTGTCCTTCTGGCCCGCTGTCTGTCTGGCCGTCTGGCCTGCTGTCTGTCTGTTTGTCTGGCCTGCTGTCTGTCTGGCCGTCTGGCCTGCTGGCTGTCTGTCTGGCCTGCTGTCTGTCTGTCTGGCCTGCTGTCTGTCTGGCCTGCTGTCTGTCCGTCTGTCTGGCCTGCTGTCTGTCCGTCTGTCTGGCTTGCTGTCTGTCTGGCCTGCTGGCTGTCTGGCCTGCTGTCTGTCCGTCTGTCTGGCTTGCTGTCTGTCTGTCTGGCTTGCTGTCTGTCTGGCCTGCTGGCTGTCTGTCTGGTTTGCTGGCTGTCTGTCTGGCCTGCTGTCTGTATGTCTGGCCTGCTGGCTGTCCTGCTGTCTGTATGTCTGTCTGGGCTGCTGTCTGTCTCGCCTGCTGTCTGTCTGCCTGTCTGGCCTAGTGTCTGTCTGGCCTGCTGTCTCTCTGGCCTGCTGTCTGTCTGTCCTGCTGTCTGTCTGGGCTAGTGTCTGTGTGGCCTGCTGTCTGTCTGTCCTGCTGTCTGTCTTTCCTACTGTCTGTCTGGCTTGATGTCTGTCTCTCCATCTGCCCTGCTGTCTGTCCTGCTGTCCAGGCAGCTCTAGATGCAAGCGATGGGCTGGTAACCCCTCCACTTTCAACACAAGTACCTCTAAATTACTTTGAAAAAAGACGAACTAAGCTTGTGCCGGAGGCCTCGGGGGGACAGGCGTCTATGACGTCTCCCGGCCAAACCCCAGAAACGGCAAAAAAAGCCACTACGGGTGGCCACGTGGAATGTTCGAACGCTCACTGTGGAGGAGAGGCTGCCACTCCTCTGTTGGGAGCCTAGCCGGTACCGCCTGGATCTCTGTGGCATTCTGGAGGTCTGGCTCTGGTTCCAGTCACCACGAGGGGTGGACAGTCCTCTGCTCGGGGTCTGAGACTGCCAAACAACAGGGAGTGGCTCTTCTTTTAAACAAAAGAATGAAGGGGGCGTGGGAGCGTGGCGGTGTTTTTGTCAAAATGGCAAAAGCTCTGAGCCCCAGGTGACTGTCGGCTCGCCTTCCCATCAATCAGGGGCGAGGAGTGGTGGTGGTTACTTATGCGCCCACCGAAGATTGACATCAGTGGGGGGATGCAGGCAAGGCCGATGAGTTAGATGCCTTATATGACCTCCTGTCACAGGTGCTGGCTGAAGTGTCCCCTAGGGCTAGAGCCATCCTGCTGGGTGACTTCAATGCCCGAGTTGGTCATGATACTGGCACCTGGGCTGGAATGATTGGAAGGCATGAAGCCAGATCAGCTCAATAACAACGGTAGGAGGCTGCTGGACTTGGGCTTGTAATTACCAACACGCTGTTCCAGCATCGCATCCACGCAACGTCATGAAAGCATGCCGGGTCCAAGCAAGAACATCTGCTGGACTATATAGTGAAGGGATAGCGGATGCGGGCCCATGTCCTTGACACCAGGACCTACCGTGGAGCTGATCTGCCCACTGACCATCGACTTGTCATCTGTAAGATGCGCCTGCCATTCTTCCGCTCCGGTGGTGGGTGTCCATCTAGGACCCCATTCAAACCCACAGTGGCCTGGTCTCAGCTAACCGATGAAAGTTGCAAGCGAGATTTTAATCAGCTCATGCGGCTTCAATGGGTGCTTTGGGTACACTTTCCAAACCTGCTCAGAGACCCTGTCTGACGGAGGAGGTATTCCAGCTGGCTGAGAAATAAACCACAGGCCCACTCTCACCATCTATAGCATCCCACGTCGGAGAATGAGGAGGCTTACGGCAGCCTTCGCTCGGAGGTTTGGAGAACTGAGGCGCTGCAGAGATGAGTCGCGGATTTCTGAGGAGATGGAGTTTTCCTCAATAGCTCACCATGACAAATCACTCTTTAAAAAGTTACTTGCAGTGCCACACCTATCACCATTCTCAGGGGAAATAAAAGTGATCAAATCCCCGACCCCCCAGGAACAAGTTTTCAGATTTGCTGAGCATTTATTTCAGGTCTTGGGGGAGGGGAAATCCCTCTGCCCAGAAAACATCGTGGGGATGACTCTGCTGAGGCTGCTGTGCCCCAAATGTTGGAAAAAGAAGTCACCCCCTGTGAGTGGCTGGATGAGGTGCCATTTGGTGAGGAAGTACTGATGGCGATCCAGAGTCTGAGGCCTCCCAAGTGAACTGCGGAGGGAGGGTGGCGTTTGTGCACAGACTGCCCTACATGACATCATAAAAACAGTCTGGACCAATGGACGGGTTCCGCAGGATTGGAAGGATGCCTTGGTGGTCCCCCTGTTTAAGAAGGGAGGACCGCATAGACTGTAACAACTACAGGGGCATCTCGCTCCTCAGTAAACCAGGAAAGGTCCCGGCATGGATTATTCAACATCGCCTTGCCAGGCATGCTGAGGAGAGGCTTGCGAAGCCCCATTGCGGTTTCAGGAAAGGGCGGTCCTGCACAGATGCCATTTCCTGTCCGTCTGCTACAGCAGAGGTGTAGGGAATTCCACACGACCTACATCACTGCTTTATTGACCTGGTCAAGGTCTATGATACCATCAGTAGGCCTGGGCTCTGGGTTGTTCTTCGTGCTTTCGGAGTCCCTGACCCTCTGCTCACGATCATTAAGGACCTGCGTGATGGTGAGCGGGCCTGAGTAAAACTCCGTGGTCGGGAGTCAGAGCCATTTCCTGTTCACGTTGGAGGAGCACCTAGTTCGTGAACCATTCCATGGCTGTACCGGAGGAATTTCAATCTGGAACGGATGAAATGGGAGGCTGATCGATGCCCGGGTGCGGTCGAGGGATGGCTCCCTATTGCTCAACCACGTTACGTATGCCGATGATTTGGTAATCGCTGCTCACTCAGAGGAGGAGTTGGAGGCGCTGCTGCTGAACCTGGAGCGTGCCAAATATGAGGTGGGCCTCTTACCCATCAGCCCCACCAAAACTAGGCACCCCGCCTTTACCCGCCCACTGCTGCCCCCACCAACCGCGGCCGCTCCAGGCTGCAACGCTTAGCGCAGCTTCTGCGGAATCCGAGTTGGCGTCGGACGTGGCCACTCGGACCGTGGTGGCGGTGGTGGTGGTGGTGGTGGTGGCCTTGCCTGAGATCGGAACTCGACGCATTGCTGACCGCTGTCCCACCGCCCCTTTACCCGCCCAATTGCTCTCCCCACCAACCCGCGGCCGCCCCAGGCTACAACTCTTGGCGCAGCTTCTGTGGAATCCGAGTTGGCGTCGGACGTGGCCACTCGGACCGTGGTGGCGGTGGCGGTGGTGGTGGTGGTGGCCTTGCCTGAGATCGGAACTCGACGCGTTGCTGACCGCTGTCCCACCGCCCCATTGCTCTCCCCACCAACCCGCGGACGCGCCCCAGGCTACAACGCTTGGCGCAGCTTCTGCGGAATCCGAGTTGGCGTCGGACGTGGCCACTCGGACCGTGGTGGCGGTGGCGGTGGTGGTGGTCTTGCCTGAGATCGGAACTCGACGCGTTGCTGACCGCTGTCCCACCGCCCCATTGCTCTCCCCACCAACCCGCGGACACGCCCCAGGCTACAACTCTTGGCGCAGCTTCTGCGGGCTCCCCGCGCTGCGGACTCAGGCTGAGCTGGCGACGGCGTGGAACAGCAGCGACGTAGCGGGCCGAGTGCTCGCGCTGTACGGCAGCGCCGACAGCGTAGATGTGTGGCTGGCGGGACTCCTCGAGGTGCCGGTCGAGGGCGGCCGAGTGGGGCCGCTGTTCTCCTGCCTCCTGGCGCGACAGTTCGCGCTCATACGCAACGGAGACCGGTGGGTGTGGTGTGTTGTGGTGTGGGTGTGGTGTGGTGTGAGTGGTGGTGTGGTGGGTGTGGTGTGGTGTGGTGTGGGTGGGTGTGGGTGGGGAGCGATAGTGTAGCGGTTAGCGCTACGCTGCGCTATGAACCTGGCGACCCGGGATCGATTCCCGCTCACGGCCAACACCGCCGGTGACGATTCTCTGAACCGGTCCCTGTCCCGGGGCCTCCCCTAGGTCGACTCAGCCTCAAAATGAGTACCTGGTGCGGTGTGTAGTAAACATCACCACTGGGGAGACAAAGGCGGTCGGGCGTGGTGCTGGCCACCCACCCCCTTCATAGGTGCTCGCTAACAGCACTTGCCCCTACAGTCTGTTAAGGCTACACGGGGAGATCTTTGTTATCTTTGTGTGTGGGTGTGTGTGTGTGGGTGGGTGAGTGTGTGTGTGTGGGTGGTGATGATGGTGACGTTGGTGATGATGGTGGTGGTGGTGACGGTGGCAGTGTTGGTGACGATAGTGACGGTGACGGTGGCGATGGTGATGACTGTGGCTGCGGTGGCGGTGGTGGCGGTGACGACGGTGGCGGTAGCGGTGATAACGGTAGCGGTGATAACGGTAGCGGTAGTGGTAATGACGGTGGTGGTAATGGCGGTGGTGGTAATGACGGTGGTGGTAATGACGGTGGTGGTGGTAATGACGGTGGTGGTGGTAATGACGGTGGTGGTGGTAATGACGGTGGTGGTGGTAATGACGGTGGTGGTGGTAATGACGGTGGTGGTGGTAATGACGGTGGTGGTAATGACAGTGGTGGTGGTAATGACGGTGGTGGTGGTAATGACGGTGGTGGTGGTAATGACGGTGGTGGTAATGACGGTGGTGGTAATGACGGTGTTGGTAATGACGGTGGTGGTGGTAATGACGGTGGTGGTAATGACGGTGGTGGTGGTAATGACGGTGGTGGTAATGACGGTGGTGGTGGTAATGACGGTGGTGGTAATGACGGTGGTGGTGGTAATGACGGTGGTGGTAATGACGGTGGTGGTGGTAATGACGGTGGTGGTAATGACGGTGGTGGTGGTAATGACGGTGGTGGTGGTGGTAATGACGGTGGTGGTAATGACGGTGGTGGTAATGACGGTGGTGGTGGTAATGACGGTGGTGGTGGTGGTGATGACGGTGGTGGTGGTGGTAATGACGGTGGTGGTAATGACGGTGGTGGTAATGACGGTGGCGGTGGTGGTAATGACGGTGGTGGCGGTGGTGGTAATGACGATGGCGGCTGCGACGGTGACGACGGTTTCGGCTCCGGCTCCGGCTCCGGCTCCGACCGACGGTTGACCGCGGCCGCGGCCGCGGCGGCGGCGGCGCTGAACCCCCCCGGGGCCTGCAGGTTTTGGCACGAGCGCGAGGGCCTCTTCACAGCGGCGCAACTCACCGAGCTGCGCAACGTCAGCCTCTCGCGCCTCATCTGCGGCAACAGCGGCGTCCGGGAGGTGCCCTGGGACGCCTTCCGCTACCGGCCCTACCCCGAGGGGTTCGTGCACTGCGACGAGCTGCCCCCTATCAACCTCCTGCCGTGGAAGGAGGAGACGCAGAGTGAGGACGCAGCCTCGGAGGCACCGGCGCCTCCAACACCACCGCCGCCGCCAACAACACCAACACCATCACGCTACCACCGACACGCTACCAACACCAACACCACGACACTACCACCACCACCACCACCACGCCACCACTATGCCGCCACCACCACCACTACGGCACCACCACGCTACCACCACCACCACCACCACGCCACCACTATGCCGCCACCACCACCACTACGGCACCACCGACACGCTACCACCACCACCACCACCACGCCACCAACACCAACACCACGGCACTACCACCACGCTACCACCACCACCACGCCACCAACACCAACACCACGGCACTAACACAACGCTACCACCGCCACTCTACCACCAACACCACCACACAACGCCACCACCACCACGCCACCACTATGGTGCCACCACCACCACCACCACGGCACCACCACCACGCTACCACCAACACGCTACCACCACGCCAGCAACACCACTATGCTGCTACCACCACCACGCCACCAACACCAACACCACGGCACTACCACCATGGCAACACCACCACACTACCACGCTACCACCACCACCACGCTACCACCACCACCATGCCACCACTCTATCATGCTACCACCACCACGCCACCACCACCACGCCACCACCACACCACCACGCCACCACCACTACACCACTACACCACGCCAACCCCAAACCCCCTTCACCTCTCTGCTATCTCCCTGCCAGACCCACAGAGAGAGAGCCACACAGAGACTCATATAGAGACCCACAGAGACCCACAGAGACCCACAGAGAGGCCATACTGATAGAGACCGATAGAGACCCACAGAGACTCGCATAGAGACCCACAGAGACCCACAGAGACACACAGAGACCCACAGAGACACACAGAGACCCACAGAGAGAGCCACACTGATAGAGACCGATAGAGACCCACAGAGACTCATATAGAGACCCACAGAGACCCATAGAGAGGCCATACTGATAGAGACCCACAGAGACCCACAGAGACACACAGAGACCCACAGAGACCCACAGAGAGGCCATACTGATAGAGACCGATAGAGACCCACAGAGACTCGCATAGAGACCCACAGAGACCCACAGAGAGAGACATACTGATAGAGACCCACAGAGACCCACAGAGAGGCCGTACTGACAGAGACCGATAGAGACCCATAGAGACTCATATAGAGACCCACAGAGAGAGAGCCATACTGATAGAGACTAATAGAGACTCACAGAGACTCGCATAGAGATCCACAGAGACCCACAGAGACCCACAGAGACCCACAGTGACACACAGAGAGAGCCATACTGATAGAGACCGATAGAGACTCGCATAGAGACCCACAGAGATCCACAGAGCGAGACATACTGATAGAGACTAATATGCCCACTACCACCACTACTACTACACTACTACCACTGCTACTACCACTACTACTACTACCACTACTACTACACTACTACTACCACTACTACTACCACTACTACCATACCTACTACCCCACCTACTACCACTACTACTACTACAACTACTACTTCCACCACTACTACTACCACCACTACTACAACCACCACTACTAATACTACCACTACTACTACCACCACTACTAATACTACCACTACTACTACCACCACTACTACTACTATCACTACTACTACCACTACTACTACTACCACTAGTACTACACTACTACTACCACTACTACTACACTACTACCACTACTACAACACTACCACTACACTACCACTACACTACTACTACACTACTACCACTACTACTACACTACTACTACACCACTACTACTACCACCACTACTACAACACTACCACTACACTACTACTACTATCACTACTACTACCACTACTACTACCACTAGTACTACACTACTACTACCACTACTACTACCACCACCACTACTACACCACTACTACTACCACTACTACTACACTACTACTACCACTACTACTACACCACTACTACTACCACTACTACTACACCACTACTACAACACTACCACTACACTACTACTATCACTACTACTACCACTACTACTACCACTACTCCAACACTACTACTACCACTACTACTACCACCACTACTACTACCACCACTACTACAACACTACCACTACACTACCACTACACTACTACTGCTGTAACTTCCCCTGGTGTGTGTGTGCGTGTCCCAGACACTCCGTGCGGTCCGGTGCCCTCCGTGCCCAACTCGCACTTTTCCATGTGTGGTGGTGCCGGTGTTGGCGGTGGTGGTGGCGGTGTCACCACCGCGCTGTTGGTGCGCTACGAGTGCCTCGACGGCTTCCACATCGCCGGGGCGGACACCATCAGCTGTGTGGACAACTCCTGGGGTGACGCGCCCAGATGTCGTGGTGAGTGATGAGAGAGAGAGATGGAGAGAGTGGTGGTGGTGGTGGTGGCGGTGATGGTGGTGGTGTTGGAGGTGGTGGTGGCGGTGGTGGAGGTGGTGGTGGTGGCGGAGGTGGTGGTGGTGAAGGTGGTGGTGGTGGACGTGGTGGTGGCGGTGGTGGTGGTGGTAGAGGCGGTGTTGGAGGTGGGGGTGGTGATGGAGGTGGTGGAGGTGGTGGTGGAGGTGGTGGTGATGGAGGTGGTGGCGGCGGTGGTGGTGGTGGAGGTGGTGGAGGTGGACGTGGTGGTGGTGGTGGTGGTGGAGGTGGACGTGGTGGTGGTGGCGGTGGTGGCGGTGGTGGCGGTGGTGGTGGAGGTGGTGGAGGTGGAGGTGGTGGTGGAGGTGGTGGAGGTGGACGTGGTGGTGGTGGTGGTGTTGGCAGAGGCGGTGGTGGTGATGGAGGTGGTATTGGTGGTGGAGGTTGGTGGAGGTGTGAGTGGTGTTCGTGGAAGCGATGGTGGTGCAGGAAGCATTGGTGGACGTGGTAATGGAGGTGGTGGTGAATAGCTAACCGTCTGCTACCCTCTCTCCATCTCTCTCTCTCCATCTCTCTCCATCCCCCTCTCTCCACCCAACCTCTCCCCTCGCTCACTCTCTCAATCTATCTATCTATTTGATCTCCCCATCTCTCTCCATCTCTCTCCATCCCCCTCTCTCCACCCAACCTCTCCCCTCGCTCACTCTCTCAATTTATCTATCTATTTGATCTCCCCATCTCTCTCCATCTCTCCACATCTCTTTCCATCCCCCTCTCTCCACCCAACTTCTCCCCTCGCTCGCTCTCTCAATCTATCTATCTATCTATTTGATCTCCCCATCTCTCTCCATCTCTCTCCATCTCTCTCCATCCGCCTCTCTCCACCCAACCTCTCCCCTCGCTCGCTCTCTCAATCTATCTATCTATTTGATCTCCCCATCTCTCTCCATCTCTCTCCATCCGCCTCTCTCCACCCAACCTCTCCTCTCGCTCTCTCTATCTATCTATCTATTTGATCTCCCCATCTCTCTCCATCTCTCCACATCTCTTTGCATCCCCCTCTCTCCACCCAACTTCTCCCCTCGCTCGCTCTCTCTCTATCTATCCATTTGATCTCCCCATCTCTCTCCATCTCTCTCCATCCCCCTCTCCCCACCCAACCTCTCCCCTCACTCGCTCTCTCTCTCTCAATCTGTCTATCTATTTGATCTCCCCATCTCTCTCCATCTCTCTCCATCCATTCATCTCTCTCTCCATCTTCCTTTACATCTCTCTCCATCTCTCTCTCCATCTCTCCATCCCCCTCTCTCTACCCAACCTCTCCCCTCGCTCTCTCTCTCTCAATCTATCTATCTATCTATTTGATCTCCCCATCTCTCTCCATCTCTCCATCTCTCTCCATCCATTCATCTCTCTCTCCCCATTTTCCTTTACATCTCTCTCCACATCTCTCTCCATCCCCCTCTCTCCACCCAACCTCTACCCTCGCTCGCTCTCTCTCAATCTATTTGATCTCCCCATCTCTCTCCATCTCTCTCCATCTCTCTCTCCATCTCTCTCCATCCCCCTCTCTCCACCCAACCTCTCCTCTCGCTCTCTCTCTATCTATCAATCTATTTGATCTCTCCATCTCTCTCCATCTCTCTCCATCCCCCTCTCTCCACCCAACCTCTCCCCTCGCTCGCTCTCTCTCTCTCTCAATCTATCTATTTGATCTCCCCATCTCTCTCCATCTCTCCACATCTCGTTCCATCCCCCTCTCTCCACCCAACTTCTCCCCTCGCTCGCTCTCTCTCTATCTATCCATTTGATCTCCCCATCTCTCCCCATCTCTCTCCATCTCTCTCCATCTCTCCATCTCTCTCCTCCCCCTCTCTCTACCCAACCTCTCTCCGTACATTACCCCCCTCGCTCGCTCTCAATCTATCTATCTATTTGATCTCCCCATCTCTCCCCATCTCTCCATCTCTCTCCATCCATTCATCTCTCTCTCTCCATTTTCCTTTACATCTCTCTCTCTCCATCTCTCTCCATCCCCCTCTCTCCACCCAACCTCTCCTCTCGTTCTCTCTCTATCTATCAATCTATTTGATCTCCCCATCTCTCTCCATCTCTCTCCATCTCTCTCCATCTCCCTCTCTCCACCCAACCTCTCCCCTCGCTCGCTCTCTCTCTATTTGATCTCCCCATCTCTCTCCATCTCTCTCCATCTCTCTCTCCATCTCTCTCCATCCCCCTCTCTCCACCCAACCTCTCCTCTCGCTCTCTCTCTATCTATCAATCTATTTGATCTCCCCATCTCTCTCCATCTCTCTCCATCCCCCTCTCTCCACCCAACCTCTCCCCTCGCTCGCTCTCTCTCTCTCTCTCTCTATTTGATCTCCCCATCTCTCTCCATCTCTCTCCATCTCTCTCCATCTCTCTCCATCCCCCTCTCTCCACCCAACCTCTCCCCTCGCTCGCTCTCTCTCTCTCTCTCTATTTGATCTCCCCATCTCTGTCCATCTCTCTCCATCTCTCTCTCTCCATCTCTCTCCATCCCCCTCTCTCCACCCAACCTCTCCTCTCGCTCTCTCTCTATCTATCAATCTATTTGATCTCCCCATCTCTCTCCATCTCTCTCCATCTCTCTCTCCATCTCTCTCCATCCCCCTCTCTCCACCCAACCTCTCCTCTCGCTCTCTCTCTATCTATCAATCTATTTGATCTCCCCATCTCTCTCCATCTCTCTCCATCCCCCTCTCTCCACCCAACCTCTCCCCTCGCTCGCTCTCTCTCTCTCTCAATCTATCTATTTGATCTCCCCATCTCTCTCCATCTCTCTCCATCTCTCTCTCTCCATCTCTCTCCATCCCCCTCTCTCCACCCAACCTCTCCTCTCGCTCTCTCTCTATCTATCAATCTATTTGATCTCCCCATCTCTCTCCATCTCTCTCCATCTCTCTCCATCCCCCTCTCTCCACCCAACCTCTCCCCTCGCTCGCTCTCTCTCAATCTATCTATTTGATCTCCCCATCTCTCTCCATCTCTCCCCATCTCTCTCCATCTCTCTCCATCTCTCTCCATCGCTCCATCTCTCTCCATCCCCCTCTCTCCACCCAACCTCTCCCCTCGCTCGCTCTCTCTCTTTTTGATCTCCCCATCTCTCCCCATCTCTCCCCATCTCTCTCCATCTCTCTCCATCTCTCTCTCCATCTCTCTCCATCCCCCTCTCTCCACCCAACCTCTCCCCTCGCTCGCTCTCTCTCTCTCTCAATCTCTCTATTTGATCTCCCCATCTCTCTCCATCTCTCTCCATCTCTCTCTCTCTCCATCTCTCTCCATCCCCCTCTCTCCACCCAACCTCTCCTCTCGCTCGGTCTCTCTCTAACTATCAATCTATTTGATCTCCCCATCTCTCTCCATCTCTCTCCATCTCTCTCCATCCCCCTCTCTCCACCCAACCTCTCCACTCGCTCGCTCTCTCAATCTATCTATCTATTTGATCTCCCCATCTCTCTTCATCTCTCCACATCTCTTTCCATCCACCTCTCTCCACCCAACTTCTCCCCTCGCTCGCTCTCTCTCTATCTATCCATTTTATCTCCCCATCTCTCTCCATCTCTCTCGATCCATTCATCTCTCTCTCTCTCCATCTCTCTCCATCTCTCTCCATCTCTCCACATCTCTCTCCATCCCCCTCTCTCCACCCAACCTCTCCCCTCGCTCGCTCTCTCTCTCAATCTATTTGATCTCACCATCTCTCTCCATCTCTCTCCATCTCTCTCTCCATCTCTCTCCATCTCTCCACATCTCTCTCCATCCCCCTCTCTCCACCCAACCTCTCCCCTCGCTCGCTCTCTCTCTCTCAATCTCTCTATTTGATCTCCCCATCTCTCTCCATCTCTCTCCATCTCTCCACTTACATTGATCCCCCATGACCCACCCACCTCCCCAACCCTCACCCACCCACCGCCTTGTCTGTCTGCACCACCGCCAGCGGCTGATCCGTGCTCGGGGTCCCCGCCGCCCTGTGCCTCCGAGCCCAACTCGGTCTGCGAGCCGCCGGCTCCCGGCGACGCTGCCTCCGGGAGCCACCGCTGCGTCTGCCTTGCCGGGTTCCAGCCCGGAGCGCAGGGACGGGGATGCGTCGGTGAGGGAGACGCGGAGAGAGACGGGGCAGAGAGAGAGAGATAGAGAGAGATAGAGAGAGATAGAGAGAGAGACATAGAGAGAGAGAGAGACAGAGAGAGACATAGAGAGAGAGGGAGATAGAGAGACAGAGAGAGAGACAGAGAGAGAGACAGAGAGAGAGAGATAGAGAGAGAGACATAGAGAGAGAGAGATGGGACAGAGAGAGAGAGAGACAGAGAGATAGATAGAGAGAGATAGAGAGAGAGAGACAGAGAGAGAGACAGAGAGAGAGAGAGATGGGACAGAGAGAGAGATAGAGAGAGAGAGATAGAGACAGAGAGAGAGAGAGACATAGAGACAGAGAGAGAGAGAGAGACAGAGAGAGACATAGAGAGAGAGGGAGATAGAGAGACAGAGAGAGAGACAGAGAGAGAGACAGAGAGAGAGAGATAGAGAGAGAGACATAGAGAGAGAGAGATGGGACAGAGAGAGAGAGAGACAGAGAGATAGATAGAGAGAGATAGAGAGAGAGAGACAGAGAGAGAGACAGAGAGAGAGAGAGATGGGACAGAGAGAGACAGAGACATAGAGAGAGAGAGAGAGACAGAGAGAGAGAGATAGAGAGATAGAGAGAGAGAGACAGAGAGAGACAGAGAGAGAGAGAGACAGAGACATAGAGAGAGACAGAGACATAGAGAGAGACAGACAGACAGAGAGAGACATAGAGAGAGACAGAGACATAGAGAGAGACAGACAGACAGACAGAGAGAGACATAGAGAGAGACAGAGACATAGAGAGAGACAGACAGACAGACAGAGAGAGACATAGAGAGAGACAGAGACATAGAGAGAGACAGACAGACAGACAGAGAGAGACATAGAGAGAGACAGAGACATAGAGAGAGACAGACAGACAGAGAGAGACATAGAGAGAGACAGAGACATAGAGAGAGACAGAGAGAGACAGAGAGAGAGACAGAGAGAGACAGAGAGACACAGACTCACACAGAGAGACATAGACTCACACAGAGAGAGAGACATAGAGAGAGAGAGAGACAGAGAGACATAGACTCACACAGAGAGACAAAGACTCACACAGAGAGAGAGAGACATAGAGGGAGAGAGAGACATAGATTCACAGAGAGAGAGAGAGACATAGACTCACACAGAGAGACATAGACTCACACAGAGATTCACAGACTCACACAAAGAGACACAGACTCACACAGAGAGACAGACTCACAGAGAGACATAGACTCACACAGAGAGACACAGACTCACACAGAGAGAGACACAGACACACACAGAGAGACGTAGACTCACACAGAGAGACATAGACTCACACACAGAGAGACATAGACTCACACAGAGAGACACAGACTCACACAGAGAGACACAGACTCACACAGAGAGACGTAGACTCCTACAGAGACACAGACTCACAGAGAGACAAGACTCACACAGAGAGCCATAGACTCACACAGAGAGACACAGACACACACACAGAGACACAGACTCACACAGAGAGAGACACAGACACACACAGAGAGACGTAGACTCACACAGAGAGACATAGACTCACACACAGAGAGACATAGACTCACACACAGAGAGCCATAGACTCACACGGAGAGACATAAACTCACACAGAGAGACACGGACTCACACAGAGAGACACAGACTCACACTTAGAGACGTAGACTCCTACAGAGACACAGACTCACAGAGAGAACAGACTCACACAGAGAGCCATAGACTCACACAGAGAGACACAGACACACACAGAGAGACACAGACTCACACAGAGAGAGACACAGACACACACATAGAGACGTAGACTCACACAGAGAGACATAGACTCACACAGAGAGACATAGACTCACACAGAGAGACATAGACTCACACACAGAGAGACAGCGACTCACACAGAGACACGTAGACTCATACAGAGAGACATAGACTCACACAGAGAGACACAGACTCATACAGAGAGATATAGACTCACACAGAGACACACACACAGAGACAGAGACACACACAGAGAGACGTAGACTTACACAGAGAGACACAGACTCACAGAGAGACAGAGACTCACAAAGAGACACAGACACACACAGAGAGATGCAGACTCACACAGAGAGACACAGACACACAGAGTGATATAGACACTCACAGAGAGACATAGACTCACAGAGACACAGACACACACAGAGAGACACAGACACACACAGAGAGACGCAGACTCACAAAGAGAGGCATAGACTCACACACAGAGAGACACAGACACACACAGAGAGACGTAGACTCACACACAGAGAGACATAGACTCACACAGAGAGACACAGACACAAACAGAGAGACGTAGACTCACACAGAGAGACACAAACACACACAGAGAGACACAGACACACACAGAGAGACAGAGACTCACACAGAGAGACATAGACTCACACAGAGAAACAGAGACTCACACACAGAGAGACACAGACTCACATACAGAAAGAGACACAGACACAAACAGAAAGACACAGACACACAGAGAGAGACACAGACACACAGAGAGAGAGACGTAGACTCACACACAGAGAGACACAGACACAAACAGAGAGACGTAGACTCACACAGAGACATAGACTCACAAAGAGAGACACAGACACACTCACAGAGAGAGACGTAGACACAGAGAGAGAGAGAGAGACGTAGACACACACAGAGACGTAGACTCACACAGAGAGACACAGACACACTCACAGAGAGAGACACAGACACACTCACAGAGAGAGAGACGTAGACTCACACACAGAGAGACACAGACACTCACATACAGAGAGACACAGACACTCACATAGAGAGAGACGTAGACTCACACAGAGAGAGAGAGAGAGAGACATAGAGGGAGAGATAGACAGAGAGAGAAACACAGACACACACACACAGAGAGACACAGACACACACAGAGAGACGTAGACTCACACAGAGAGACACAGACACACACAGAGAGACACAGACACACACAGAGAGACGTAGACACACAGAGAGACATAGACTCACACAGAGAGACACTTACACAGAGAGAGAGACATAGAGGGAGAGAGAGACAGAGAGAGAGAGAGAGACACAGACACTCACACACACAGAGAGACACAGACACACACAGAGAGAGAGACACAGACACTCACACACACAGAGAGACACAGACACACACAGAGAGAGAGACACAGACACTCACACACAGAGAGAGAGACGTAGACTCACACACAGAGAGACGTAGACACACACAGAGAGACGTAGACACACTCACACACAGAGAGACACAGACACACACACAGAGAGACACAGACACTCACACACAGAGAGACACAGAGACTCACACACAGAGAGACGTAGACACACTCACACACAGAGAGACACAGAGACTCACACACAGAGAGACACAGAGACTTACACACAGAGAGACACAGAGACTCACACACAGAGAGACACAGACACACACACACACAAAGAGACACAGACACTCACACACAGAGAGACACAGAGACTCACACACACAGAGAGATACAGACACTCACACACAGTGAGACACAGAGACTCACACACAGAGAGACACAAACACTCACACACACACACAGACACAGACACTCACACACACAGAGAGACACAGACACTCACACACAGAGAGACACAGACACTCACACACACAGAGACACAGACACACACAGAGAGAGACACAGAGACTCACACACACAGAGAGGCGTAGACTCACACACACACAGAGACACAGACACTCACACACACAGAGAGACACAGACACTCACACACAGAGAGACACAGACACTCACACACACAGAGACACAGACACACACACACACACACAGAGAGACACAGACACTCACACACACACAGAGACACAGACTCACACACAGAGAGGCACAGAGACTCACACACACAGAGAGAGAGACGTAGACACACAGACACTCACACACAGAGAGACACAGACACTCACACACACACAGAGACACAGACACTCACACACACAGAGACACAGACACACACACAGAGACACAGACACTCACACACACACAGAGACACAGACACTCACACACACACAGAGACACAGACACTCACACACACACACAGACACAGACACTCACACACAGAGAGAGAGACGTAGACTCACACACAGAGAGAGAGAGACAGAGGGAGAGAGAGACAGAGAGAGAGACACACACACTCACACACACAGAGAGACACAGACACTCACACACACTCACACACACAGAGAGACACAGACACACACACAGAGAGACACAGACACACAGACACACACACAGACAGAGAGGCGTAGACTCACACACACAGACACACACACAGAGAGAGAGAGGCGTAGACTCACACACAGAGAGACACAGACACACACAGAGAGACACAGACACACACAGAGAGAGACACAGACACTCACACACTCAGAGAGAGAGAGGTGTAGACTCACACACACAGACACACATACAGAGAGAGAGAGAGGCGTAGACTCACACACACACAGAGACACACACACACAGAGAGACACAGACACACAGACACACACACTCAGAGAGAGAGAGGCGTAGACTCACACACACAGACACACACACACAGAGAGACGTAGACTCACAGAGAGAGACACAGAGACTCACACACAGACACACAGAGAGAGAGAGAGGCGTAGACTCACACACACACAGACACACACAGAGAGACACAGAGACTCACAGAGAGACACAAACACTCACACAGACACACACAGAGAGAGAGGCGTAGACTCACACACAGAGAGACACACACACACAGACACTCACACAGACACACACACACAGAGAGAGGCGTAGACTCACACACACACAGACACACACACAGAGAGAGAGAGGCGTAGACTCACACACACAGACACACTCACACACACACAGACACTCACACACACACAGAGAGAGAGAGGCGTAGACTCACACACAGAGAGAGAGACACAGACACACACTCACACAA